GAAAAATGTGTTCCTAGTGACCTCTCACCTCGTCGTCATTGGTGATGTAGATGGCCTCATTAGCAGACGAGCCAAACACACAGGCCTTCCTTATTGATGAGAGCTCTTCTGGGGACATAAGGCTGAAAATGGGCCATTTGGTTACATCCACCATGATGTGCTCGCATTGGCTAGTACGCCCCAGCTGCTGTCACTGTTTTGAGTGGATAAGGGTGCATTCACTTAGACATCATCAGAAATAATTTTCCCCTTTGTCAACACACTTAGACAATGACAAAAATATTCAGGAATCTGGATCAGTTTTCACATTCTGATCTAATATGAATTAAAGCCACACACACACACACACACACACACACACACACACACAAACGATAGAGATTAGATATAGGCCGTGTCACAATGTTTCATAATAACTCAGAGGTAAGGCAATGATTTAACAGAGTAAAAATCCTCCTGCTTTAACTTTTAATCTTTAACAAGAATGTTTTGGCTCCAAACTCATTTAAATGACAAGAAGGGGAAAAAAGCTGGGCCTAATATAAAAGCAGAGTTTTTTTTTTAGACCTGGAAGGATCGTAGTATATCCCTTTAGTAATTAGACAAATTTATTATCTTCAAATTTCAGTGTTCAATTCATTAAAAAATAAATAGAAGATATGAAAACATTAATAGATAAAATGTGCAACAAAACATCTTCATAATAGCAGTTTAATGTACCATTAAGCTAATTTGCACAAATTAATTTTCATAAGATGCGTCAACCATTAATCTGTAAATTATGTCGATTGTGTGCATGAAATTAAAATTGTATGCAAATATATATATATTTTTTAATTATTTTTTTACTTTATTTAGATCATGAATGTGAGACTTTACCTGTATCTTTTTTGCTTGCTGTCAATATATAAAAGCTCTATTAAGAGCTGTTGCACAAACACAAAAAGACAGTGGAAGATACAAAACACGCTCTTACAATCGTAATGTTTGAAAACTGAAAACAACGTTCACCACTAACATCAACCGATTCAAAAACTACACCGTATTTGATTACAATAAACCACAAAAAAAACACAATTCCAATGGATCAATATTAGAAGTATCCTGTTCGTAAAATAAACGTACCTTGTGGCGCTAATAAGATACATCTATCACACTGCTGTGTGCCGTATACAATGTATGACTTCCACAGTTGCAACTTATCTCCTGTTATTTCCGTTGCCAAGCTCCCGCTGCGCAACGTAAACAGCGGAAGTTCTCTCATCAAAATAAAAGCATTAAAATCAAAAACCGGAAGTCACTTAACAAAATAAAGGCCATAAGCGCTAAAAAGGAACACAACAAATAAGGAGCTTAACATGGGGTTATTTACACAACTGAATAAAACAGAGCAAAGTAAGGATATTAATTACATAAACATTTTATATGTTGACATATTTAATTAACAGATAATTGAATTAAAATTGTTTCTGTTAAGAAAAAAAATCATTTTAATCAATGACCAATGGATTAATGCATCTCTATTGAACAATAAACCCACTGTCAAAATTAAGTGGTGACCATAATATGGTGCTCTACAATGGAAACTATATCTTTTAAGTATTTTGGGGGTCTGGCAGAGGATTTAAAGCACCTTACAGAAAGGTCTAGCGTGTACCTTTAATTCCCCCCACCACCTCCTCCTCCTTCCGCCACAGCTTTTGCTAAAACATTTGTTTATGAAACAAATGATAATGCTCGGCAGACAACGGGGTTTTGTGTGAACTGTGTGGACTAAATATGAGTTGGCGGTGCAGACATCATCGCTCTGTTGTGTAAATGGTGAAAACTGGACTCAGGCTGTGACCTGCGCGTGTGCTCGTGAAGAGCAAACGGCTCTGAAAAGAAGAGGGGGGGGCGAACAGCAGGAGGAACGTTGAGCGCAAAGAAAAGACATAATTCGCTCACCTGCTTAATGAGTCTTTCTAAGCGGAAGATGTTCCGTCCGACAGCTTCGGCATGGCGCGCGGAAAGGTTTTACTTTCTCTGCTGGAACAGAAACAAAAACAACGGCTCCAACTGGCGTTTGTTTGGGGAAGTGGCGTGAGAGGAGCACGTCACGTGACCACGAGACCAAAGCAATGGAGTTTGGCTTCCCGGAAGTAAGAACAGCGGCGCGCGCGAGAACTCGCTCGAGAGTTTTACATGTGGTTGTCCAGAAAGAACACCGAAATTTCACCATAATTTATATTTTATATGAACAAAATCTATAATTGTATCGGACATTTTTTTATTATTATTAATCGATATCCTCTTAGAAAACAAAATTATGCGTGTTTAATATTTATAAACGTCATACAGAATTGACAGTAAATATGTAGAATGTGTAACAGAGGTCATCTTAAATAAAATGCATTAGAGTATTTTTATTTGTTAAGTGTCTATTTATGTCCTCTTATTAAAAGTGTCACTAAAGCAGTTATCAAGATATGTCATGACAGATTGTCATAAATATATTACATATTTTCTTTTCTTATATAAAGCATACAAGTTTCAATAGACACTTAAAATGTCACATTCCTTACATATTTAAACTTTGTCTAAAATGTGTTATTTATACATTTGATAATTGAATAAATTGTTCATCAAAATAAAATTGGAATAAAAAGAGAAAGTGAATTTAAGACCTGCTGTGATATAAATCTAATGTAAAACATAATTATAAATGCTTTCACATAAAAACATACATTTTATGAATTATTTTAACATTTAGTGATTTTAATTATGTAATAAAGCATTTGTCGAAAAGATTACAGGTATATATTTGCCTTATTGATGTATTGCATGAGTTTGTCCCTCAACAATAGATACGGTTCTTAAAAACACTGAATGCCAACATGTTTGGCACATGAATAGAAAAAAAAAAAATTCTATGTCAAGATTAGTTTGAAGGACGACCGCAGGTGCTTCTTTTAGACATGAGAAACTCTAACATCAGCTATCGCAGACAGAACATTAGCAGAGAACCAGAGGAGGAATTAGATGGCCTCTGTGCACAACAGCTAAACAGATCAACAGTTCGTCTCCATGTTGTCACCCGAAAGAAACCGGCAGCATGACCTGCTGGAGCTGACTGAGGTCATCAGCCGAGTAGTTGCCAAGCTACAAATATCTGCGACACTCTGCAGCTTTTCAGCAGAGTATAAAAGGACTTTTCATCTCTATCTTTTAATTTATGGAGTCGCTTCTCCCTAATTATAGTGTCAACGATGCAATTCTCGCTTTGAGAATGAATCCAGTTTGAGTCAAACATTCGGCTTCAGGAACTAATTTCCCCACTTCAAAATTCCCTTGCGTGTGTCTAGAATGCGATGAAATTGTCTTGCTACAGTACTCGGTCATTACATTTCTGAATTTGTGGATAGCATTGAGTCCTCTATCTAAAATCCAGTTCTATCCACTGTCTACAGAAGTCATAATCGCCATACAGAAGACTTCAGACGGCACAGCAATGAATGGGTAAAAGTCAGTTAGGTTTTCTGCTCAAAGCTTTGAAAATGTTACCACTGTGAAATATGGTAGTGGCAGCATTAGGCTGTGGAAATGCTGGGGAGCAAGTCAGAGTTGATGATAAAGACTGGTTAATATTTTAAACATGTTAGTGGAAGCAAAGGACTCAACACTTTTCTTTCCGCTCGAATAGACTCTAAAGATACTCACACAGCCAGTGAAAAGCTTTTATATATATATATATATATATATATATATATATATATATATATATATATATATATATATATATATATACATGTAATAAAAAAATAAGACAGTAAGTTTATGGCATGGACTGAAAACTGATGTTTTTCCTTTCATCTGACTTGAGGTAGTTTAGAAAAGTGCAAATCTGGTAGACAAACTTTCAGCTATAATTACATTGAAAGGTGGTTTCAAGACAATAGCTTAAAGAGGCCAAGTAGAAACGCACACCACACTTTTCAGAATTTTTGGGGGCATAGAAATAGAGCATTTCCTCTGTTAAAACACCATACTTTCCCAGACTTCACTTTCTTCATAAATCATGAAAGAACATGTGAAGCTTGGTTTCCAATCCCCCTTTGTCAAAGGGCTTTGGTTTACTTTTTTTTTTTTTAAGCCAGTTAAGTAAACTAACTACAACTCAAACTATCAAATCTGGAGTGAATTGTCCTACATTTCAATAAACTTTTCAAAACTGAAAACAATAAATACGATTAGGAGTTTTAGTGATTTAGTCAATGCCTACAGACAAATTTAAAATCCACAAAGTCCAACCTGAAACTTGGATCTGACGGCAAATGCCACAATCTTTTCCTGTCAGCTGATTCTTCTGCTTCCTTACTCAAGTAGGAACCTAAATCCATTTTCTCCTGTTTTCACTCATTTATTGAAAATGTGGTTAGACTTACAAACTATAGAACTGGCAAAAAAAAAAAAAAAAAAAAAAAATCTGTTTCATAGGTATTTTAATTCCAAATCAGAATAGCAAAAATAAACAAAAAAAAATAGTTCTATATGAAATAAGGAAAAAAAAATCCCTATAAACAGGCCATTGAAAGAAATTTTTAAAAAGTAATTTTTTTTTTCCACGGGTCTTTTCTTTTTTGCACACATAGACCTGGAAAATGTTAAAAACCTACTCCATGCTTTCCACTGTGTACAAATGTAGGAATTAACGGTCTATAAAACACTGATTTGTAATGTGAAATATATATATGCGATAAAAGCTCAATATTTAACGCGAATATAGGTCAGGCAGGATTAATGACCCATTTTTTGTAGCCGGTTATCTTATACATCACGTTGTCTGGACCGACTCCACGGGAAACCTCTTTTCAAAGTCTAAGGCTAAGTTAATGATTGCCTTCTTGGTCTTTATCTCTTAACAGTTGGAAACCCTCTCTGCGGAAAACTTCTCGCATTTTAGCCAACCCAAGAAAATCTCCTGGATGTGTGAAACAAACACTTGGAAGCTACAAGGAACAAACGGCTAAACAGCAAGTTTATTTTGGTTCGAATCAGAAACACAGACGACGTCCTGAGGGTGAGATAGGAAAGGAAACCACGGTCTGTTGACTGAAATTATGGCAAACCGGTGAGGTTTGTGGAGTCAGGGAATGGTGTCGTACATTGTTCAGTGGGTAAAAGATATGAAAGAAACTGTTTTTGACAGCAGAGAGCAGCGCTGACCATTCCTCATGGCAAACTCCAACAGTAGGGAGACGACAAATTTACCCTCGTGTGAAGATTCTCCAGTTGCTCCGTTTGTTCAGCAAAATCTATTTGCAGTTGAAATAAAAAAAAACAAAAAAAAACAAAAGGCACAATGATTTCTCAACTCATTATTGTCTTTAATATGCACAAGAGTTGAAAGCATCAATGAGCCACCTTAAAGAGAAGAGTTCAATCTAAAATTTATAAAAAGATACAAACAATCAGAGGCCAAAACGCTGTCTGTTGCTTCTTTTTCTCCTATTATTTCACTTAAAACAGCTTTTTATTAGCAAGTAAAAATCTTGCAAACATAAGCTTGCATCCAATTTGGATACAAGACAACAAAATTGTAAATCTTTAAAGTGGCTCGGTCTAGTCTGCTAGTTCATGACTGTACACCCTCTCAATAGTTTTGTTCAGTAATATTAGCTAATCCAAAAAAAAAAAAAAAAAAAAAAAAAGTTCTGGCTGCTTTTAACAGCCCTACCAGATATTTAAAGCCCCCCACTGTGATCCAGTCGCTGCTCTGAACGCCCACCCCAATAATCTGAAAAGTTAGCAGCCAACCAGCGGATTCATCTACAAGACCGGGGTTCGGGCTCCGACTTCAATTTAGTCGCCTCGGCCCCCGGATCTAAACACCAACTGGAACGTGGGACGGTACATTTTCAAAACAGCCGCCACCGCGATAAGAGGTGAAAACAAGACAAACCAAAAAACCCGGCCTACTCCAATTTATCAGCATGTCATCACAATACATTTGCAAGTCCAAAAAAAATAATAAAATAAAATTTAAAAAAAAATAAAATATTGCTTTCAAAAAAACAAAACCCCCTCCCCAGCCATGTGGGACAGTTATGAACCATCCAATGACCGTCAGCTGCAGCAGCTTTGTACAGGCTTTATGTAAATATATTCATATATTTGTTAGACGGTAAGGAGATACACATCACATTGTTTTGTTTTTTTTACAATTATTCAAATCAAGTGATGACATGTGACCTCTTAATCAAAAAGTAGTTAAGTACTATAAAGATCAGGACCTGCACTCTGTATGAGGCTGGTCTTCAATGAGCATAGGTCCCTTTCTGCAGGCAGACGTCACTGTGCCTCAATTGTGTGCATAAGACTGGAGGAACATAAAAATAAAATTTAAAATATTCCACAGATTATACCAGACCAGGCTGAAATGTGAAATTAATATCTGTTCAAAGTGAGAATTTCTTTTCTTTTAAAATAAACAAAAGCTAAAAATAACCTTATGGTTTGATTTCAGTTTGAAGGTTTTTTTTTTTCCCTCAAACCCCGCCCCCATATCTGAGTTTTCACATTACAGGGGAGTCCAGAGGAAAACAGTTTGCAGGGCGGGGTGAACGGTACGGCTGATGCGTCCCCTCTTTTTGTAAGTCTCTGTGCCTTCATCGTCCGCCTGGTGACAGAAATTTACATATTTTGACGACCCCCCCCCCCTCAAGAAAAAAAAAGAAAGAAGTTGCTGCTCTTCTGAATATGTAGAGGGACGTTAGCTGTTTGTGTTGAGAGAAAAAAAATATATGGCGTTTTCTTCACATTTGATGAATTCCTTTAAGAGTCTAATATTTCGACAGAGGTCACACCAAAAAAAAAAAAAAAAAAAAAAAAAAATAAGAAAATTGAATCAGTAGTCCCATCAGTCAGTTTGCCACGGATTCCTCGATTGTTTTTACCTTTGAGCCCTTTCACACCTCCACCTCCTGGGTGGGCGGAGCGGAGGGGGTCCGTGGTAATCATGGCTTAGCTCGGGGATTATCTCTTTAAAATGGGTTACGGGGTGCGCCTGTTCATCAGAAAATATTGTGACCAAGTGTGTGCAATTGTGTGTGTGTGCAGGGATGAAGTTACAGCGGAGGACAAACCACGGGAGGGAAAGCACAAAAAATAAAACCACAAACCAACAGCAGTATTTCTTCCCCAGCTTTGATATGACGGCTTCTAACAGAAGTATGCACACAAATCCCAAGTGTCAGAAAGTGTGTATACATATATGCATTTCTATACATTTATATATAAATGTGAGTGTGTGCGCGCGTGGTTGGATCTGAAAATGTGCTTGTGTTTCTGTCGTGAAGACTTGACATTTGGCAATTTGGATCTTGCCAAGAAGGCTTTTTTTCCTCCTTCTGGTTTTACCTTTAAGTGATAGAAGCACTGGCAGCACTGACAGTTCTCCTCATGCAGGTTGCCAGCTGAACAACTAGTATGAAGAGTTGCTGCTCTTCATACTACTTGGAACTAAAAATGGAACTAAAAAATAAAAAAACAAGACAAAGAAAAAGCTCCCCACAGTGCAGGTGTGGCTGTGATTTAAATCCTTTAGTGGCGAGATTGGTGTTTTAAAATCCTTCTGTACCGGGTTGCCAGATTGTTGGGAGAGATGGATGAATGTCTGCGGTAATTACAGGACGCCCCTGCAACTAGTGGAATCAAACATCCTGGCTTTTTAGAAATTGAACTCCTTTGTTTGCATGTTGGATGCAGGGTCAAAGTTGAAGGTTCCTCCTTGAGTGGTTTCAGGGATCAAGCTAGGGTCTTCATCAATCTGAAAACAACAGATATCGCCAAACTGATTTTAGAGACAACACAAAGAGGAGAAAAACAAAAACAAAAAGGCAAATTGGTGATTGAGAACTTACATCATCTCCTGAAAAGTACTGATCAATGATCTCAAAGGCTAATTTGTAGATATCTTCATTCTCATGTTGCTGCAAGTTTTCTATTTTCTCCAAACCTTAAAAAGAAGGACAGCAACATTTCAACAGGAGGCCAAGCAAAAACATTTATTCTGTTACCAAAACTGAACATGCTTTGTAGATTTCACTTTCACACACTGAAAAGTCCATTACAATTGTTCCTAAGCACAGATATGAAACTAATAGAGGCCGGATGCATTACCAAATACCTAATCAATCTGATACTGTAATATGGCGAATTAAGCCTGTTGCAAAAAGCAATAAATCAATTAATCACGGAAGTCCTAACCGGCAGTACTTCTTGTTCTACCTATTTGGCCCCAACAATTATTATGTCAAGGGCAATTTTGTTTAGAGACTTCTTAATCCATGATATTTATAATTGATTATTTTATTATGGATATTTAAAATATATTCCTGTTCCAGTGTTCAGCGTTCTTTAGAAATGCTATAGTTTATCGATCTTCGAGAGGATGTGATTATCAATACATTACTTGAAAATGGTCTCAATACAACAATATGATTGTTTATCGCAATAGTTTAAGGACAGTTTACAATCATTATAGGCCTACATGAAAGAAAAAGCAAAATGTATATAGTTCTATCAACTAATGTCATGTTTAGTTTTCTACAAGTTTAGCCATTTTGTTGAAAATAAAATGTAACCTCCTAAAACCCACATACCTCTGATGAAATCACAAAAAGCATGAAGGCAGCAGAGCTCAATGACATCTAATTGCATTTTCTTGTTTTTACCCTTTCATGTTCTACAATTTTCTTCTTCACAAGAATACATTTGACTTCTGTTCATAAAGTTTCCTAACATACGCTGATCACATGGTCATTGTGCTTCTTTTGTCCTCTTGCATTCAGTGAAATCCTCCAGTGGAAATCCATATTTATTATTTTACAATTAGCCAAATATATCTATTCTTCACTTCTCTGTACTAGCAGAGCCATTCCTAATGTTAACCAAAACAAAGTGAATGAACACAGACCTCCACACTCCTCTATGATTTCAGCAATGGTGCTGGCTTCATCTCCAGCCATGATGAGGATGTTCTTGAGGCCGTCCAGGACAACCTGCACCACCTGAGAGTCCTTCACTGACAGCAGGTTACAGAAGGGAGGGATGACATTCTGCTCCACTAAGAACTCCACCTACACAAACCCATACATACACACCACATTCATACTTTATTGCAACACAGGTACACAGTTACAAGTCTGGAAAACAAGCTTGCTCAACGTTCACAGTGATATTTAAAGAACAAAATATTGCCAGGATGCATCCATCAAATGAGACTTCTTTATGTTCTGGCAAAGATTTACTACTGAGGTCAATACCTGAACAGGTAAATTTACAAATTGAAGCAACATAAATGTAAGGAAAATGACTAAAGAAAGATTTCTACGTCAAGTCAGACTCACCTGGTCTTTCCTCCCGCTGATGGTGAGGTTGCTGATAGCCCATGCTGCTTCCTTCTGAGTGCCAAAGTCACCCTGTGGAGAGCCAGTCTGTTAGCAAAAAGTCCTACCACAACATGCTGCCAGGCAGACATTAAATCTAGGCGACAATTTCATTCTACGAGCATGATTCCAAAAAAAAAAAAAACGCAAAAATATTAGATTAGCGCTGAAACAATGTACTTTTCCCAACTGGATTTGTGGCAACCGTGAGAAAGAACCTAAATCTTAAATGTAGAGCAGCTCCTCTACTGTGCACAAACCTTGGCCAGTTGGTGGATGATCATAGGAATTAGCCCGGCCTCAATAACAGCCTGGACCTGCTGCTGGTTCCCAGCTGTGATGTTGGACAAGAACCAGACAGCTTCCTAGAAACAAACCCAATCACAAATGGTCAAAACTATCCCCCAAAAAATATTTAACAACAACCACTCCTGGACTTAAAACCAACTCCATTAATCCTTTGCATTGTTATCAATAGTTTAAATGGCTACGTCACTCTCGTTAAATGCAAAGGCTGGGTTTTGACTAGTATATCTTTACACTATCATGACGATGCGTTTACCCAAATTTACTGACATTTTTAGCAGAACAAAAAGCACCATTGAGTTAGCGATACCTTGTTAATCTTTTCTTTAGGATGAGTGAGCAGATTGGGGAAGTGTGAGAGAACATCGCAGTTAAGAACCACCTGGGTCTGCTCGTCTGTTCCTGTCACAATGTTTCCAACTGCCCTCAGAGCTGCAGTCTGAAGACAAGAGAACAAAAACAATTTACTTAATGATAGAAAACAAACAAAATTCAGCTCAGCAGACAATGTCTTACCTGAACTTTCACCTCCTGATGGCTGAGGAGAGGCACAAGAAATGGAACAACTCCAGAATCAATGACCATCTGGATTTGTTCGTTTCCTCCGTCTGTCAGATAGGACAGAGCCCACACGGTGTCTACGAGTATCTAAACGCAATGAGGTGAACAATGATTCCACAATTTTAAAACAGTCTAAAACTGGCATAGGTTATAAAAACAAAAAAAATGTATTCAGTTTGATGCTTACATTTATATCAGTGTGATATATTAGCACACAGAGAGCAGGCAAAATCTGTGAAAAGGAAAAGGAAAAGTTAGATTTTGGACAAACAGCTTTGCATGTCCCCTTGGTATAAAACTAAAAAAATGATAGCTACATTTGTTTTTTTCCCCCCCCTTTCTATTTATAAACCAAAAGTAAATCTACGCTCCTTCAACAAGCTTCCATGTGCGCCTTTCAGCGGTGACGTCACATAAGGCAACCGATAGCAGCTTGTAAGTGCATCTGTTTGTCTTGATGATTTTCTGTATTTTGTTACATCAAAGAGTGTCTACTTGGATTTCAGTTTCCTATGCCAGCTGATCACTGAAATCCACAGAGCTGAATTATAGCAGGTTTTTTTTAAACATGGTTTTTACAAATGGCAAAAGTGAAATCTTTTAAATGAAGTGTGGACAGCCACACTTTGTTTCAGCTGTTTTTTTTTTTAAACCATCAGTGTACAACTAAAACACAGTAATAAAGGGGGTGGGGAGGTACCAAACTTAAATAATCACAATTTTATACTCCATCCTGTAGTAATTATGAGAACAGAAAATTCTCTGGAAAGGTTGAACTAATGGACAAATTGCTCTCCGGGCACACCCACCTCTTGCACCGTCTCCATGGGCGGAGGCGGATCCTTGTTGCGGCAGAGGTTAACGATGACCCAGGTGACATTGCGGAGGAAGGTGATGGGGATAGATGGGTTGATGAAAGAAAGCAGAGGCTTCACTACGCCCAGCGAAATGACATAATCCCTGCACTGTGGACCGTCGCCTGAGCAGAAAGTGACGAACATCTCAGCTCGGGCTGTTGCTTGCTCATGGACACTTGTGTCAGTGGGCCACACTCACCTATGATGTTTCCTAAAGCCCATACAGCCTGTTCACAGACGTTCTGGTGAGGAGAGTGTAGCAGCCGCAGGAACAAGGGCACTGCGTCTGGATATGCAAACATCAACAAATCAAAATTCTGCCCGAGGTGACAGCTTGTGCAACTCCACAGAAAAACTCGTTTCCCAGAACACTTGAAGCCAAAATAAACATAAATTTACTGTGGCAACTCGGGGCCCCAAACATCCCGTGAAAACTGAAGCGGAGGCGACAACAAAACAATCGTCATAAATAATTTACTGGCCCTGCTCTTAATGATAAAAGCAATGCCAGGGGTAAATGCACACCTCCTCTGGGTCAAAGCCTGAGTGTCTGCCTCTGCCTTGTAAACTTTGGCACAGACAAAACACTTCCAAATTATCTTGCATGTCAATAACACCCAATAATCACAATTTAAATTAAACTTCATTTGCATAAACAAAAAAATCTGAATTTTGGAAATTTCAGTTTTATCTTTGGAATAAGTTTGAATAAATAATTTGGGACACATTTTAATCAAAATCTGACCAATAATTTTTTCGACTTTTTTTCCCCCCCCACACTTAATCTGTTCAAAAAGCAAACAAATTCACATCATAAATAGCTTTACTCTCTTCTTGTTAGATATGACTGTCTCACACATGCAGTCCAGACATGAGGCATCAGTTTGTATTGCATGTTGGGAAATTTATCGTTGTTACAATTTGATTCTAAACAATACGAATATGACAAGAACTTCTTGGATTACAGTAATAAACCACAAAGCAATCATCTTTATACTTTCAATGTATTTGTTGATGTTTGTTTACTGCGATAAGCAATTTATCGCACGATAATTTAAAATGAGCCTTACGAATTCTGATGGTTAAACGTTATAATTCATTTTATTTATGTTTCGGTTGTGTGTGGTTTCCATTTCTGTTATATTTAGTTTGAGGTTGTTGTTTTCTTTTGGATATTTGAAACATGTTTAGTTCCCTTGTGAAGAGTTCATTACAAAATTGAAGTTTATCGGTCTGTGAAAGGATGAACTTGAACTATTAGGCCATTATCGACATATTACTTAAAAATTATCTCAATACAACAATGTTATTGCTGATCGCAATAATTTCTGGGACAAATCTTTCAGTAAAATGTTATTGTGACAGGCCTAAACATTAAGATCCTCTGATAAAGTTGCTCCATCAGCTGTAGGCAGAGGCACCATTTTCAGTGAAAATATGTCGAAAGAGAGAAACTAATGAGTCCCTCATTATGACATTCACCATCATTATCACACTTTGCATGTATTCCTAAAGTGCATTTTCTAACTTCAAGGGAAAGCTTCAGTCGGATTCTCATTCTCTGTCCCACTAGTGAGTCAAATTGTCCATTTTGAAATGCGACCAATTTTCTAAACTTAAAAAAAAAAAAAAAAAAACATTTATACAAAAATGCTAGCTCCTCAGACTGCAGACAGTACATAAACACAGACTGACGGGGTAACACCGGGGAAGACAGAATGCCGGGTCAACATACTTGATTTAACCACAGCCTGAGTCTGTGCTGACGTCCCAGAGGCGATGTTGGTCAGAGCCCAAGCTGCCTCGAACTGAAGTGAAGGACTGCAGGATTAAGAGCACATTTAAATCAGTTAATAATAAGCAAGAAGTTTGAAGATATTAAAAAAAGTAGAGGGAAAAAAATTTAAAAAAAAAAAAAATCAACTGGCCCCATTTATAATCGACATTTAAGTTGTTAGTAAAATATTAAATGCAAATAATTAGTTATAAACAGATTTAGAGTTCAGACTCTAGCAGAATAAGGTTGAGTTTATTCTAGAGGACTATAATTAACTGTCAGATAAACAGATGGATCACAAGAAAATAAATCAACATATTGTGGTCAAGTGATTAATCCATCTGCCACAATAAATATCTAACTGGCTCCAATAATTATCTGGAATCTCTGAGGGTTTGATTTACTCCTCCTCAGCACAGATGTCAAATAAACAACATTGCTTTGGCATGATGAGCCTTCTGTGAGTTAGTAGAGAGAAATCAGAGACCCAATTTAAAGAGCTTTAAATGACTTTTTTTTTAAGTGGTTGTAGATGTCATTTAAGCATACCTTCTTCTCATAACAGTCAAAACTATATATTCTTTTAATGCATTATAAATATGTTTCAATCTCTTGCTATCATTTGATTCCACTATAACCTTCTATACCGCTTCTTCCTTAAGGATCTTACAACCAAGCTATTCAATCTGTCCCCTGAGTGAGCACAAGGTCCTGGGAATTGGGGAACTCTTAGAGACAGGAATGTCGATATATTTGGCTTGGCCTGAGCTGAGAGAGCCAGCCAGCTGCCCTGCATGCCTCCACACACACTCTCACGTGTGATCAGTGGGGAACAACAAGCCCAGTGCACTGTTGCAACAAAAACCTGCTACAGTAGCATCAGATTTTGAAAATGATACAGAAATATGCACTTTTTTAAGAAATAAAAAGAAATATGACATGTTGCATAAAAAGACATCTGAACAAACTTACTTGTCATCCCTTTCCAGGCATTTGACTAAAATGGGCAGGATCCCAGACTTTATCAAGTCATCAATAGGAGGGTTTCTGTCACTGGAGAGAAGTTTTCTGAAAAAAACAAAACATCAGGATTATTATGAATGAAAACCCCATTTCATTTTAGCATACACTCTTTGGTTTCAGAGCAACTTACCTGGCTGCTTGCACTGCACTGAGCTGTATAACAGCATTGTCACTGGTTGCGTTCTGAGTTTAAAAAAAAAAAAAAAGGATTATATGATAATATAGAATCAATGTTGCACAGATTATGTGCAACATGCAGAATATTTGAGATTTATCATAGGATAAATTTAATTCTTACTTGTAAGATTGCATCAAGTGTAACATTTTGCTGCAAAACAAGAAGAAAGGGGTTATTAAAAATCTAGTGCATATTATTTTATATGTGTTGCAGGCATTTGTTGCAATAACTTCACTTTTTTTCCCCTCCACTGAAAGACTCTCCAACAGGCTGAATAAATTACTGGTTTGCAAAATCTGACATCTTGATATTAGGAGCATATACTGTGAGAATATAGTTGCAGAATATTGCGCAGTTCTACTAGAATATTACAAAATGGATGTTTTACCAATTCTGTCTAGTATGCAATACTTAAATTGGTCTCTATTCACTTGAAGAGCAAAAACAACTTTGAAATAGAACAATTCACAAGCAAAGTGAATCTTTTTTTAAATCCACAAAAAACTGCATTTGTACATCAGTATGTCTTTTTACCAAGTTATACAATTTTAAGACTGAAATTCCTCAAATATGATCTTGTTAATATTCATTTCTTTACACCAAATCTCTGGTTTCAGACCATATTATGTCATTGGGGATTTTCTGGCAAAAGGGCAATGATTAGAAAATAAACAAAATAAATACAAGCTAGAAAAGTGGTCTGAAGGATCTCACTTTCATGTAAACGTGTATGAGTAGCAAAGACTTCAGTACCATTTGATTGCATATGAAGAGATTTTTGTGGAGCTTTTATTATTTAAGCTCCACATAACATAAGGAATAATAATAATTGTAAATAATTAGGGACAAAATTTGTAATGATAGTACATTTTTAAATGAGCCAATCATATGTAAAAATACATGCAGCTGCAATCACTGCAGGTGAGATAATATCAAAAATACAGAAAAGTATTTCAACCATCTGCCAAAATAGTTTCTGTCCATCAACAATTTTATTTTTATTTGATCCGTCTTTAGTTTCATTAACTAGTTTTGAATATTATTGTGTGATGTTGAATGATTTTAAAGGGGGGAAAACAGTTTGTATTGAGCCCAGTAAGCCTCAACCCAGAGTATTTGAAATCCTACACACATCAACACAGCTGATGTTCATTGCATTTTAAACAAACTGATCAGACTGGAAGACAAAATTTATTCAAATCTGTTCAGTGACATTTTTTTGGCATAAATTATATTTATCCATCAAAACACTGATTAAACAGAACTAGTCTTTTTCCAGTCATTTTCACAAGTGCTGAATTTCAAACAAAAGATACAATCTTGAGAATCAAACTCTTCTCAGGCGTTTCTTGCCTGGGTCTTCACAGTTAAGAGTTTCTGTGTCAACACATGGTAGGTTTCTCTAGTCTCACCCAGACCCCCCACACACACACAGGCAGCAGTTCTGGATCTTAAGAAGTACATGGGTGTTCACTGCTGCCTGACCCTGCTGTTGTTTTGCCCATCAAGCATGAAATACAGCACAGCTTAAACTATGAAGCACCATTCAATTCAGTTCATCCCCCCACCCCAACAAGACAAAAACAGTTATGACTCAAATATTGCAGTTTTACCTTCACAATAAATTACAGGCTCCCAGTTTGACATTTCTGTGTCAAAACAAACAGGATGTTTCGTGGTGAGGAACGCAACATCCTCCCATCATAATCTGAGTCCACACAATCAGCACGACTTTGAAAAAATCCTCACCACATCAGCACTGGGGCAGAATTTCTTCATAAATGCCTTTAAGCACAACTGATTTTCTGTTTTCTGAATAATGGCCAGCTCTATGTAATGCATCTGATTTTGAAGTGGTAAATGTTTTACTGTACAAATATATACATTTTCCCCAGAACTTCTTATTTCTTCATTTATTTTTTTTAAAAACATTTAAATATGTGCAAAAGCTGTTTGTTTTATTTTGTCTCCCTATGAGCCGTTATCTTAACAAGCCGGTCTCTCAGTCCAACATACTCCCACACTTACCCCTTTAAAGTCTGAGTCCACATCAGAGTCCTCCAGACTCTCCTCTTGTGGGACATTTCTCTTCTTCAGTAAATGTTCGTCTCGTTTATTCTGATCAAAGGAGAAAAGACAGGAGGGCAGCGAGGAGTGTTAATATATTCACAGTGTTTAAATTGAATGTTAAAACAAGCACAACAGAAAGTCTAATCTTTTGGAACCCAGATAAATACTTTAACTGGAGTCTCGCTTGAAAGCCAGCAAGCATCAAGTGGTCAGTTTGAAAGAGAAGGTTAAAAAAGCCTGCGCGAATTAATCTTTGCTAGTCACTGAATCCTGAGTCTAAATACCAACACGCTGCAACTCTGACAAGCTCATATTCACAGCATGCGTCTGCAAGGCATGTGAGTCAGTGGTAGGAGGAGATTCCCTTGCCCTACATTCCTGTGCATCATGCTGACGTGCGTCACTGATGACTAATCAGCTAGTGCAGTGCTTCTTGTTGCTCTGATCCAGCTGAAAAGGAATGTGCTAGACTCTGAACCGCTTTAGTACTTCACATAGAAAACGTTCAGTACTGTTGCTTCAGCCAGTATTCCTGACTGCTGAGTTGCTCTCAGCAACAGCTGGTCTGCACACCTGAATCTCTTCAACCGTTCAGTTAAAGGATTTGAATTATGTTTAAATGCTGACCAGAAAGCTAAGTGGGAACAAATTTCTGCCCGACATCAGATGTCTATTTAAAAGTTTTGTTTTTCTGGAAAAAAAAAAAGATGAGGATTATCTGATTTACATTTTCTAAAACTAAATACTTTTAGGATATGTAATCCTGCTTGGGAGTAAGCACTCCACATACGTCAGCCTTGATACCACAGTAGTTATACGTTTCTTGGGGACAGTTATTGTGGTCGCACAACATCAAGATAAATCAAGAAAGGCAGGATAGTAAGAAGAAAATCTGAGAAATAAATTTCTGGATGTCAAAACTTTTGCAAGACAGAGCAAAAATACTCTGTTATAAACACAATTAGCTTAGCATAAAAGAGCAATGTCAGCAATTATTTTACATTTACAGAATTTTAGGTTATTATTTCTCCATACATTTGTTCAAACTGGAGCACTTTAAGATAAATTAAAGCCTGAAATTTTGAAGCAGACATCCTGACAAGTAATCTCTGGACCAAGGTGACTTGGCATGTTTTATGAAAAACATTACTACATTTTTTGTCCTTTTGGCTAGTGTCTAAATGCTGACTAGTTCAAAAACTAAGAACAGTAAAATAAACTCCAGATAGCCAGTCATAACATATATACGTGACAACTCTGATAAAGGAATTACCCAGAAGCTAAAATGTTATAGATGCAGCTCTGTTTTTCTTGTTTTAACAGCACAGACTTCCTCACAAAGTCTCACCCCAGAAACACTGCAGCTGTGAAAAAAATCACTGCGCATGTGTGACACCTCAGTAATGCCAAAGCACAATGGCAAGAAGACCTTTGTTCACTTTGCTCATAAAGCTATTCTTTATAATAAAAGAAAACTTGATACACAGAAAAAAAAAATAGAGTTGGTGATGATAATCAGTCTATTATAATCTGAATAGGGCCTGATGAGTGACCAGGCAGTCAGAAGCTAAAAAAATAAATCAGATTTTTTTCTGATCTCTTGTCCCAAGTGCTATCAAAACATGCTAAATACAACACTGTTCGGTGAGGATGTAGTTACAGCTGGAAGAATATTCCAAGTTAGTCATTTCTAGCTTTTGACCAGACGTTGCATTTGAAGTTACAATCAAATACACGTTCCTGGCCCCGTCATGTTTGTGCTTAGGCTCTCAATAATAAAGGCTGTCCTTTGCTTATAAAATTTACTACACATTTTTTAACGAAGTACTCTTCATTACAGAGCATAAATGATGTAAGCTCTACAACTGTATTGAAATATGTAAGCAATTTCAGTTTTTGATTGATGCCAGGAAGTGATTTTCAATTATTTTTTTATTTTAAAATACATATTCTTTTACCCAAAGCTTTGAATTTAATAAAATATTAGATTTTAAGCATTGTTAAGTCTTTGTTTGTCTTTTTATGTCTAGTAAAGCACATAAGATTGCCTTGTCTAGCATTTCTTGCTTTAATCTTTTCTTAGAAATAACTAGAGAGTCTAAAAAAGTAATAAAAAATTGAAACAAAAGTTCTGAGAATAATATTTTAAAATATATCTAACTATTTAGTTTGCTCATAAATTTAGACAGTAGGGTTACAGATACCTCAAATACATGTGCCAGATGTTTCTAAAAGATTTCTGCTAATTTGGCAACACAAAGATCTATTAGACAAATCATGCAATCATTTAGATGTAGTAGTCACTAATAAAAAAATCATTTAGCACTACTTGTTTAAGGCCTCAATGTGTGCGACTTAGGCAGGCTGTGGTGGCGCAGTGGTTTAGTACAACCCGCATATGGAGGCTTTCGTCCTCGACGCGGCTGTTGCGGGTTCGACTCCCGGCGACATGTGCAACTTCTCACATAACCTTTTAATTGTCAGGATTTTTTTGCTACTGTTGTAGCTTAAATTTTAATTAGTCTCGGTATGAAAAAAAAAAAGGTATAAACAATGTATGGTAACTATCCTGTATGATAAGAGTCGATAAATCAACCAAAGTTCCTCCAATTGTGACCCTGGCCTATACAGAGGCTGTGCTAAACAAATCCTGACAGTCTCAAGAGAATAAAGACAGTATAATTATAAAAGCATTGAAAGGGAGCTTATTTATGACGGTGTTAACTTTTGCTGTGAATGTTTTTGTAATCTGTGTACTGCTGACAGTCTTGGCCAGGATTCTCCTGCAAAAGAGAGCTTTAATCTTAATGGGGCTTCCCTGGTGAAATAAAGGTTAAATTAAAAAAATAAAACATCCCTTGTAGAACAGATTTCTCAGACAACAACTCAGAAATGCAACCGTCCCAAGATAAGATCACTTTGAAAGGGAAAAAGCTACAAACAACTAAGCTATATGAAGACAAAACAAGAAAAACTCCACAAAATTCTTCACACTAATCTTGTGTTAAAGAACCTCAGCCATTTTTAAATTGGGGAAAGAACACTGAAGAACACTTGATCAAAATGCAACATTACATGAAATAAAATCTACCACCTTCTACCTTCATATACACCGAAAAACAGGAGCTACTTCATCAGTAAGTGAAAGTGGGCTCATGGAGGAAAAAAAACAAAATGTTCACAGTACCATGTTTACAAGCTCATTCAGGGTTTCCCTCAATGTATTATAAGCCTGGTGGGTCACCAGGATTTATTTGCCCCCCCCCCCCCCCCACCAGGCTCAGCATCTTTTGATTGTTTTAAATGATTTTAAAATGATATTAAGACAGATTAAGCAAGGTGTACAGTTGATGTATTAAACTGGCCTCAAAGGGGTGCGCATCAATTGCGCCGTCCATGCACCTGTCGTTGGTCTCACACTATTACTTCAACATTATGGTACCAGCTCATGGACCTTCAAATCTTTGTAAATTGTAAAAATTTTTAAACACAACCACTGTGGGTCGCTGATGGATTGCTTTGCCACTGGGCTTGGCAGGTTTTCCTGCTTTTAGAAACAACAGCCGGCTAAAACACAGGTCATGGTTAAAAACTGCAAAAACTGAAACCGCTTTGACGGAAAAATCTTGTTTGGTTCTCAGATTAGTCTAAAATAGTATTAAAGTGTTTAGTATATGTCGTTTCTCACCTTTCTCAACTCAACCGTCACCTCATTTCGATGTCTTCTCATAGTCTGCAAAGGAGAAAAATGTGAATTAGAAGCCATTTTATTAATGAACTGCAAAGGTAAAATATACATTGGAAGATTTACACTTTTCAAAGAATAACAGTATATTGATTATAATCAAAAGATATAAGCAAAAGAAAAGTTAAACCATTTTCTTCTCATTGGATAACAAAAACATTTCAATGTTCAGGGACAGACGAAAACATGGAAGGCAAGACATCTGTAAATCAACCGAAACCCAATGAAAGATAGTGATGAAAGACAGTTTAAGGGTTCAGCTAATTGCTGCATTTGTACGTCTGCTTGGGTTCCAGATCATCCATTGGAGTTGGAAATGGTCTATGATCTTGTGACTGTTTAAAAAGGTTCATGTTGCCTTCCTAAATAGACTCTTACGTAATTTGGGCCAGTCGAAACTCTGGAGGCAGGGAATAAGAGAGGCATCTCCCAACCACTGCAAACCAATGGCAATGCTCGTACATCCACCCAAATCAGAAATTATTACAGTACATTTAGCATGCGATGGTCTAATCTGAACATTAACTAGAACAAATAATTGTAAAGTTAAATGTATTAATATCCAACTATGTGAAGTGTAATTCTATTTGCTCAAATTTCTACTTCTGGTATTACAGTAAACTCACAACAAGAACTGTATTTTAAATATATTGTGAAAATAAGTCGTGGCTTTCACAGTATGTTTGGCGTTACTCTTGTAATTCAATAAAGTTGCCTGAGATGACACCAAATCTATGAAAAACCAAGATAAACTTTTTTCTTTTGCTGTATCCCAAGTCATCCATGTTTAAAAACTCAATTTCATGCTAAGATTCTAAGAAGGCCTGGGTCAGACATCCCAGATGCCTTGAATAGCATCAGGAATGCACTTGGCAGAAACTACATCGTGGTAGCCACGTGCTGCTCAACCAGACTCCTGGTTTCAAAACAACTACCAACATGGGAAGCTAAGCTGCGTTTTGGAAAGTTTACAGTGAAACTCAAATCGCCACCACAGCAGATTTTGAAGAACCATTTTCAGACATACCTTTGTTTGGGGATTATCTCAGGATTAACATTAAACCAGAATGACCAGGCACAAGCATGTTTTTGTTTGGCAATCCCATGACTGAGATATGCCGCCTGAGAAATATCTTAAATGTCAAGCATAAATAGAATAAATTCAAATATTTGCAATTCTGTCTCCCAGATTTAATAAGCTTTCGCACATTTTTATGTTTAAAGACATAATCATCAAGCAGTATTTCTTCCCCAAAGAAAAATGAACACAAACTATAAAGAATTTGGATGCTGAATACAAATTAGAGCTGTAGGATCTCACAAATGTTTTTATTTAAAGCTGACCAAAGAAAATAAAGCCTGTTCTGCTTCATGTCACATTACCAAACACTGTTGATAGATTTTGAAACAAGATCCAGAGGCACTCAAGTTCCACTCTAGTACACTTCCATGCGTTTTATTATGGCCAAATAATACCCCCCCCAAAAAAATAAATTCAGTTTTCTCAAATGAGGCTACATTGTTTCTCTGCAGCGATACAGAATACAACTCAAAACATTTGAAGCAGAACTTTGATACAAAACAAAAGAATAAATAGGGCAAATCACAAAAAAAAAAAAAAAAAACTAGCAATAGACTTGATATTTGTTACCATTATGGACTGCAAAGTTCCAAGTCAAAATTACAACAAAAAGAAAGTGTGAACTGAAGTCAGAAGTTTGACTGGTAAAGTCAGAGGTGTGCAAGCAGACATGAGTTCAGCATCCAATATGGCTGCCACACATATGAAACTGTGCAAGTTGCAGATGTAAACTATACTTTGTGATTATTATCTCAAACCAAAGGCTTCGATAAGATTGTACCATCACAATTTGTCACCACATTCTTGTTGTAGTCAATCAGCTTGTATTGAAAGTAGTTGTGAACTCAACAGTAATTAGCAAATCCCACTGGTTTCCCCACGAGTTTGAACAAGTTCATTCCAAGATCTGAGTTTCAACTTCCAAGACAAATCAAATACACCCAAACTCAAAAGCATCTTGAGTTGCTTTAGGCCATATGTGATGTCACTACAAGCATCTGTGCTTTGAAGTATGCTTTAGGGAGGCTAGACTTTTACCTGCAGTGATAACTATTTGAAAGAAAAACTAGAAAACCGTCTGCTTTTCTTATTTATGTAGGCCAGTGGTTGTCGATGCTGGTCTTCAGGGGCTACTGTCCTCCATGTTTTAGAAGTGTCTCTGCTCCTAAGCACCTGATTAGAAATGGCACTACAGAAATCTGTTAATCAACTAGTTACTTAAATGAGGCGAGTGGCTGCTGTGAAGCATCTAAAAAATGAAGGACACGAGGCCTTGAGAACCAGCAAACGTGTCAAACTATCCAAGTACGGCCAATTCAACAGAGATACCTGTCTGGTAGTTTAAAATCACAGGTCGTATTTGTCTGAATGGCTTATGGCATATTCACCGAATAAAGTCACCAATTTAAATTTAGACATACCGGCTACATTATGCGTTTGCTAATGCAGATTTGCAAAATCGGATACTCGCCAAAACCTCGTTACTTTCAAAAATAGGAGGCTCAAAGTGCACTTAGTGTACTTCTGTAATCTCCATGTTTGGCGCATTACCCCTCAAGCATGTAATATTTCAATGCTGGCTTTCACCAACACCGCTAGCTTCAGTTAATATCGTCCGTGTTGTTTATTCCCTCAAAGGTAAAGCTCCCTTAAGAACTAGTAATTGTTTTTACCTGTATGGAAAACTGTAAGGTCAAAATATCGTTCTTATTCAGCTAAGACTTTGGTGGCTTAGCTTGGTTTAGCAGCCTCACGACGTTAGCTAGCTACCAAGAAGGGGTGGGTACTGTGGGCAAGTCGTGTAAATTACCATAAAATATCACTTCCTCGATACTAACGTTGTGGTGTGACCTTGGCGGCTTTTTTCTTGGCGTCCATAAACGCGAACTGGCTGTGAAACACCAGAAACGACGCGGTTGTGAAGCCGGGAAGGCCCAGCCTCGCTTGTGACCCGGTGTCCATCCATCCAACCAGCATGCTAACGTGACAGCTACACCGCTTGTCCTCAAATCTAACAGCGGACCAACTGCCGCGTAGCTTCCTCTGAAAAACAGCCGTCGCTAAGGTTCAGTGAATTTGTCGACCGCCGTAGCATTCGTGTTTACAAGGTCAAATATCTGTATCGTGTTTAAGTAGGACATCTGATGGCGAACTCCTTATGGTCGCTGAAATTAGCTAGCTAGCTAGGTAGCCGACTGGCAGGCAGGCAGCTTCAGTTGGGGCCAGACTGTCTAACGAGGCCCGCAGACAGTCATTTATCGCGCTGAAACATACTCATTAAAGACCACTAACACTTGTACTCCCGAGGGAACTCACCTCGACATCGCGCCCCTTGTTTTTAAAGCTCTTGATGCGGTGGTTTTCCAAGCCGGCGTTGTCTGCCATGGCTATGTGGGGTGTAGCTCTGACTCCGGCTTACTGTATCTGCTCAGTCAAAGGCACAACAGCTCCTCTGCTGCTTCCAAAGGAGGGGGAGGTGACAGATCGCAGAGTGAGGGGAGGAGTTCCTCCTGCCTGCTGGGCTGCCCTGGTTTCACACAAGCAGGAGCTACTAAATTCACCTGCCAGCAAGGCTGTGGCTGACTTTGAAAGGGAATCCTTCGCATATGTGGACGTAACCTGCAGGTGCAGCTCACTAAATGAGAATGTAATCGAAAAGTTAATTACTTTCAGGAGTTCAATTTAAAAAGTTAAACCTGCACGGAGAGACGAATTTGAGCCGTTCTCTCTATTTGAATGGACTAATGGCTTACAGCAAACAAGAACCGCTGAGAAAATTACAGACCGAGGACAAATTAAAAATGTGAAATAGAAATGTTATTTCCACGTTGTGATCCTCACGATCCTGATGAAGATGGCTGACTCATCAGTTTCAATTAAACTCAGTTCAGTTCAAAGATACTTAAGTTATCCCTAAGGGAGAGTAAATGTAGTACCTCATCTCATCCAAGTATTTTCAAAGAGTTTGCTAGTGATGAAGATATGGATCTCCAGAAGCAGTCTTGCAGGGAATCTTAAGAAGCCTCTGATTGAAGACTCTGTTGCTGATTGAGTCATGCTTCCACCCTCATTTCCAGGCCTCAGAGGCAATATGACACAGCAGCATGTCCTGGGTGATAGATAGTTGTTTTTCAAGCCCTGCTAATCCTCCTCATTTGTTTTTGACACTCCTCTTTCAAACTCTGTCTGATCATGTCAGACAATCAAATAATAGACAATTAAATCATTTTTTTAGAAAGGAAAAATCACAGAGGTGCAATAAAAGTGGAGAAACTCTTAAATTAATACTTTGTTGAAACATTTAAAACCCTTGTGTTGGCTTGCGGGGCAAAAGTGACCCACTTGCATGTTTAGCTGTAGAAAAAATACCCTAAACTATCTTTTTCCTACTTGAAATTTTATGACTTTTGTTGAATTGACCCCATCATTAGAAAAGTGATATTTTGTTTTTGTTTACGTTTCCATTTGGGCTGTACACCACTACGGTACGAGAATTGTCTTAAGGGTCATTTCTGACCTGTGAATTCTAAAACCATTCAAACAGTAGAAAAAGTTCCAAGGTCACAAACTTTCTCTCATACATACACACACACACACACCTACACGTGTGCATATGCACCCACACACACACGTCAAATAAACTGGGTTGAACTATGAATTGAACTTGCATTTGACCTGCACCTGCAGCTCACCTCTCACATCACACGAGCGGTTCATATTTTTAATTGCCTTAATTTCTCAAATTGTTCAAGGATCTTTTAGGAATCGTTGTAACCTCTCTGAAAATAAATGGCTGCAGCGAAAAGATGCATTTTAGTAAATGTGAAGAAAGTCCTACAAAGATGGTTGTCCTGTTTTCACAATCAGATTCACTGGATCTGATGTTGGTTAAAATTGAATCAAATAGTGATTCAGGAAAGTTTCAACTGAAGGGTGCATAAACTTTTCTAATCAGGTAATTGCATTTATATCAGTGTATTATATATATATGTCTCTTTTTTCAAATGTGTTTTCAAGTTGAATTGTAGACTAGTTGTTCCTTTTAATTTATCATAATCTTATTTTACATGGCAAATACCTGGTATTTCAGCAGGCATGAACCCAATTGTAACAAGTCTTGTATTTTAACTATGCTAGCTTTAGAAGTTTCCTGGCCATTTAAGCTCTTTTATTGTAGTTCATTTGCAGAAAGGAAATCATTTTTCAGTTTAAGAAAGTCTGTGTCGTACAGAGATCAAATTATCAGCATAATGCCACTTAAAACGTCATCACGTATAAATTATACACCACCTTTCAATAAACACAGGACGCAAGATGTCACCTCCAAAAACACAAGTTCAATGAATTAACAATATTTGGATTTGTACAGCGTTATTAGTACAAAGACAAGCAACTGAAATATTTTACTGTCACATCAGCAGCTGGTATGCTTTGCCAGCACAGGTTTACTTGATATATTTGTAGATACATCTCTAAATGGAGACGACCAGCACCAGCTCTCGTAATAATCTCTTTGAATAAACAGACCGAGAAAGAAAAGGATTATCAAGAAAAGTGATTTGTAAAGTAATCCGACCATATAGTTGTCCACGTAAATCAATTTCCGGCACCAACAGACAACCAAGCGCTGGATGTCATCTGTATGTGAACTGCTCTGCGAGTGTCAGTCTTTTTAAAACGTTGCTCTCACAACAAAAATTTAAACAACCAAATCCTTCTTCTTTTGGAGATAAAATTACATTTTGTGATTCAGCAAAAAAACCAAAACAATAACAACAACAAAATAAACATGTCGCTTTGATATGAAAGTAAAATAAATAGAAATAAATATGTGATGCAATTTGAGACGTCAGTAGATCCTTCGGAAGGTTAAAAACAGAAAAAGAAAGGAAGAAAGCAATTTAAAAACATGGCTTCTGATCTTGAAACCGGGAACATTTCACTGTTACAACATTTGATCGGTAACTACACATCGTGGACGTAAGCAGCAAGTGAAAGTTGTTCTGTTTACATAGGTTGATCACCAGCGAAACAAGGCAATTATTTTTATTCCTACCTGCACAGACTGCAGCAGCCCACAACAGCAGAGTAATATCAGACATCCCCACTTCTTTAAAACACAAGGACAATCCGAAGCAGCGGAAAAAGACAAGGTAATCAACACAAACGACATGAGATGCAGTCAAGTTACACATCAAAATAATAGCCAAAGTCAAACTGTAGTGTCACAGATGGTGCTGTAGGATTTAGAGGAGGGCAGCAACACAGAGAGGCCCAGGCGCTCGTTTAGAAGATCTGTTGTTCAAAGAGGATCTTCTCAAATCCTTGCGGAGCAGTGTGATAGAAGTCGCTAAACTGGCAGTCTAAGATGGCGCTGTCGTCCACTGAAACCACACAAGAAAAATCGAGGGTTAGCTTCTGGACGCACTCACCTTTTGAGAGAAAATTCTCTGACATCTTTCTTGGTCCTCAAAAACTTGGAATCATTACATTCAAACCAAGAATGCAAGACATTTTATAAATAAAAGGCTTGGAATCTTTGTATTCTACACGTTCAATTGCTTTAATGACTGTGGGGAAGATATGTTGATATGATCCTCAGAGCAGGCCATCAAATTTTGCACTGTTTGAGAAGTTTTAATGCCCCAAACAGAAAACAAAATGGAGAATATGGCCCACAATTTGAACAACTTGTCACTTTAAAACCACAAAACTAAATCCATTTCACTGGGATTTTATGCATCACATCAACACAACGCAGTGCATACTTGTAAGGTGGAAAGGAAAAGACGTGTGGCTTGCAAAGCTTTGAAAAACAAAAAACTTTCTCACCGAGAAAATACTTAGAGAACCATTTTTCATTTTAATTACAGCTACAAGTTAATGTAGGGTGTGTCTCTACTAGCTTTGCACATCCAGAGATTCAACTTTTTGACCACTCCTCTTTGCAACGTATCAGTCCGATTAGATGGAACAGAACAATGACAATTTGTTTTCAAGTTGCACATTCTATTTGGTTTTAGGTCTGGCTTTTGATTGGTCCATTTTATTACAGGAATATGCTTTGATCTAAACATTTCCAATGCATCACTAGCAGTCTGTTGAGGGTTGTTCTGCTGGAAAGTGAACCTCTGCTCCAGTCTCAAGCCTCCAGCAGGCTTTATCATTCAAGGCTAGAGATACTGTATCCCTGTACGACTTAATCTCTGACCTGGCTAAAATACCAATAAAATAAGACAACTTGAAGTCATAATGTGACACAATATAGAAAAGGGGTATACTTTTTTTGCAAGGCGTCATTTTATTTTTATGTTGCAATCATACACTAAGCTACATAACATGTGATTATTGTAATTATTGTTTGCCATAAAATCTGTGCTTTTTCTTTCAATAACGACAAAAACATCTGCTGGATTAAACACTTTTCTGCACTGCTCTGCAGCTTCGCAAATCTCTTGGCGTAGCAACTGACATTTTGTGCAAATAACCTTTCAGAGTGCCGAGGAGACGCCACGTTTTTCTCCAGCTCAAAATCATGCCAAAGTTCAGACAGAGAGATAATCAGTTATCGGTCTGTGCTGTGGTGGACGCAGGAGGGATGCCCGAAGATAACAGTGGAGCAAACTTCTTAAAAATCAACTTGTTTACCGTTAGAGAGCTTTTGTGCCTGAAGCACAGCTTTACAAATAGGAAACTAATTACAGCGAGTCTTCTAATTGCTGTTGGTTAAGATCACAAAAGCATTCAAAATACAGTAATATGATTATGTAATGCAACTCAACCAAAGCATAAATGCTCTTAAACTGTGTTTTAAAATAAAATTTTAATGGATCCTTGATGAGATTGCGTCTTGGAGCACTATTTTCAGTTTGTGGCGAAAACAAAGCCGTTAACCCAGCTTCTTGTTACAGCTGAACAATCAATTAGCTTTCCAAAGAAACCATGATTTTGCTTAATAGTTAAATAAAAATAATTGTATTCAAACAGCGAGATTGAGGGAATAAAAAAAAAGTGCATATACAGCCCTCTTGTGGAATTCTAATGTAACTGCAATTTAAAGACAACATATTCACTGGCTTTGGACAAAAACAATGCAATTCAAAATCCTAAACTTCCTCCTTTTCATTTGGGCCTAAATCTTCCAATTGTGCAAAAATATTCAGAAACATTTATAGAAACCAAGTCACCTCCCTGGCAGAGGAAATCCATTGAAATACTTGTGTTTGTCTACCTCAACAATGGACTTGGCACTTCAACTTACCATAAACAACTGGGTAAACAGTGCCCCGGATCCCTGAGGCAGGACAATGCATGTTCTTTCCATTAAGATACAGGTTCATCTCCACGTGGTCGTACGTGATGCCCTGAGGAACAAAGATGCATGCAAATTTATCTTCATTTATTAAAAGGACAGATCCAGAGATTTAAAATAATGCATTGCGAAATTATTCATATCCTTTGAGTTTGTCCACATTAATACTGTCGAAATAACAGAGCGTTGCAAAACAGCACATTTTTGTGAAGCAGACGGAAAAAGGGTTTTCAACAAAAATCTAAAAAGTGTGATTTGTATTTATATTCATTCCTTTCACTCTGATGCTTCTAAATAAAATAAATCCCTTCTGAATTTTTTATCTCTAAACATCAATTGAACTACCCATCGTCTTCCCTCCACTTCCCAATCATCCACTAGTTAGTGTTGGTTTGTTCCCTCTAATCCCAGTAAAATAGCTTAAGTGCAACTTAACTAAATATGAAAAGGTCCACTGGGTCTAAATACTTTCGGAACGCACTGTGCAATGTTTGAAGCATTTATATGTAAATGTATACACTGCTATGGGAAAATTTGTGATTCCTGACACGAAAAATGTAACATTGTGCAGGATTCATCTGTGAATAGCACCTCTTGATGCCTCCGAATCCTTGAGCGGATTTGCTTGACAATCCCGTTAAGACTGTGGTTACCCCTCCCACTGTTGCAGCTTTTCCAACCACACTTCCTCCTTTCACTCAACTTTCTATGAATATGCTGAAACTTTTCTACAATATTCAAATCTTCTGATTAACTAATTTTTTTAAGGGTGACAACAGATAAGTCATAATCTCAATATTCTTGTCCTTCTATGCACGCACAGCTATGTTGAAGTATGTTTTTTTTGCATATTTCTTAATGCTACACTGATTAATTCACAACCCAGAAATCTTCAAATGCAAACACACACTAAAAGGAAGTGTGTTTCTGCTCTTACAACAATGTCGCCCTCCTGAGGAAGGCTGTTTGCAGGCAAACGGTTCTTCTCTTCGTCGTTGTGGTACACCGAGCCATCATGCCGTAGGACTAGGCTGTTTGTGTCTCTGCCCAAAGGCACTTGGTTAAGATTGACTTTCTGAGTGGCCACTCCAATTCCCCACACACCTAAAAAAAAAAAAAAAAAAAAAACTTAAATATTTACAAATTTAGACTGATTTTTTTAAAGACAAATTCTGATACTTTGCATTAATGGTAAAATGTACTTAAAATAATAACCACAGAATGTAGCTAAAATTGGGTACAATTTTAAGTAAATATAATGCTGCATTTAAAATATTATGAAATGAACATGAAGTTTTATAAAGCATAGGCAAGAACAACTACAAAAGGCCCCTAAAAAGTCTATTTAAAACAGGAAGAGAAGGTGGAAGAACAGGATAAGAGTCCAGTAAAAAACTAAAATCCAGGACTTACCACTGGACTGGATCTTAAATTCAAAGTAGCTTTTGTTCTGATGCAGAGGAGCATTGGCAAGGCAGCCTCCAGTCCCGCATATTCTCCGACCGCTCTTTACAATGACGACGTCTGTGCCTGCAACGCAAAAATATTAACAATAAATTGCAAGACAATGCACTACTCTCCTATGCATTGATATAGCAATAAATCCTCCAACTCTTCTCTGCTCTGGTGTCATCATCTCTGTAAACCTTGCCAGACTCCAGGGAGGAATTAATGGACATCCTCGATCTCTCTGTAACCCCGTCACATAATTTCCATTTGCTGTATATTATACACAAGAGGCTCAAACACATCTCTTCATTCAGATACTTGAGAGTAGAGGCTTTACACCATCCCTGTTGAAGAATAAACTCCTGAAACATAAATATTTCTCCATGTACACACTGTATAATCTGGCCTCCAAGGGTTTAAATGAAGCATTTGATTCATGACCTTTTCTAAACATTGCAGAAGACAGTTTTTCATAGTTCACATTTGTCCAAAATACATATTTTCCTTCATAATATTCTCTTCTTCAGACATATCCTGATGGTCAGCGATCTTGGCACCTCTTTGAATTAGTATTTGTGGCCACCCTTGACTCTGGATTAATGAATGTGAAACTAATAAACACAACCTGTGTGTGCCCTACTAATTTTTTATTTATTTTGTTTTAGTTTGTTTAATTACAAAGAGATGAACAGTCTGGCACCACATTATGTTTCACTAAAATTAAATCTTGTGGGCTCCTGTAACACTAAACCATTATACAGCAACTGTTTTCAGTTTGCCAAGGAAAATCTACATGTTTCAGAAAAATTTTGGGAGAAAGTGCACAGATCGAGTGAAACCAAAAAATCTTCAGCATCAATTTGAAAACCTGACAGAGACATGCTAAGCATGCCATAAATAACATGATCCTGACAGTCAAGCGCAGAGGTAGAACCATTATGCTTGGGGATGATTTCCCTGCTAAAGGAACTCCCATACTGAGTTTTACTTGAGTGTTTGCATCAAACACATGCGGAGATAAACTGAAACAACACTGATGATTCGGTTCAAGACGAGAAACCAAAAGAGGCAAAGTTTTTTTTATTTTTTATTTAACTGGTAATAATTAGCTACCTAGAGAAAATGATGAGCATCTATGATTCAGAAGGCAGTGTAGGGCTGTGAAGGATCCCTGATTTAACAATGACTGGTTGACATTTTGTCTGAACTGGATCTGGTCCTTTATCTATTGACTGCACAAGTATCCGTCACCGTCCAAAGTTCAATAAATGTCAACTTTGACCTGGGCACAGCAATCTCCAAGGCGATGGACGCCGAAGAAGAAGCTGCGCTCCGCATGCGCTGTTTGGTTGTTCGGTCCATGTGTAATCTGTTTGGCCAAAGAAGGCCAACACCAATGTCCCTTGAGGCCTATTGTGTACATAAGGTAGATTCACCACTCCTCCAGTCGGAAGAAGTCCGATCGGTTGGCCTGGGCATCTGATCTTGATGCATTTTCAACTGGGGAACAAATTGTGTGGAGTGTTTGGTTTGCTTAAAATGAGCCGGAGACTACCAGAGGGTATCCAATCTGGACCTCCTCTTACTTCTGCTACTTGAAGTCAGATAAATTGAGATTTTTCCCAATACTTCTTGTTCACATCTTTTCTGGTGCTTTCTGTCCTCAAAAGCAACAATACTAAAAATGAGAGACGATACTACTTGGTCGTGTTTCAAAATTACAAAATCATCAGCGAATTATGCATCTCTCCTTAATTCCGTTTTTGAAGAATATATTTTTAAACAGCATTCTTGTACATATATTCAAGTCAGTTACTTCTTCTTAATTGGAAAGGAAAAATGGCCAGCAGTCAGCCTCAGACAAACAATTACCGTTTATTAATAATTAGCATACACTATTCAGATCAAACAATTAAAAACACGCAATTCGAGCTATAAAACAAACACAAGTAGTAAAACACGAGGAAACAAAAATCTACAATTGTTCAGGAAGCTAAAAGCTAACTAGCTTCGATTGTATATAAATATTTTTCGCCAGAAAACAAGTTTTAGCAGTTTTTCATGTAAACCCACTCACCCATGTGATGAGTGTCTAACTGGACAGTGGGCATCTCCTTGAGGGGTATGTGACCCGAGCCGCCCTCTCCGCAGCAGCCGAAACAACACGTAAACATAGCGGCCATTCTTTCCTCCCGAGCCTAACCAAACATCCGGAAAGGAGAGGCTGTCAAAGCCAAAGAGCGCTGCTGCGTCAGAAAATCAAAAAGTGCAGCCCCCTGGACGCACCAGTGACACCTAGCGGCAGAGGGGCGGAGCTGCAACAGCGGCTGCTCCCCGTACTGTATCCAATCACAGCGGCAAAGACAAGGCAGTTGCTCCTGATGGCATGGAAACAAGGGAAGAAAATCAAGGTCAACATTGCTCCACGTGATTCAGTAACTGCTGGGTGTCGATGTTACATAACCCCGAGTAAACAGAAAGTGGATTGGGGTTTAATGTCAGCGTTCAATCGGTAACATGGGAGCTGATCAGAGCAGAGCCTGGACCCAGGTCTGCTGAAACGGCCTGGATGTACTGAGGGTGGCACAACTCCGGGTCAGCTAATATGCAGCTGCGGTTGCACTTTCACAACTGCCAAAAGTTACAGCAGCTGCCCGAGTCAGTTCGTGCCAACGCGAACTACTAAATTAGTTCAGAGTTCAAGATGCTAAAAGTCCTACTTGACAGTTTTTCACGCTGTAATGTTTTGCATAGCAACAGCCCCTCCCCCAACCGACGGCTCGGGGGTCGTCTGCCAATTTCTCCGCCGCGACGAAACCGTACAATCAAAGAAAAAACCCCAGTCGAAGCCGTTCCATCGTCCTAAACACGTTCGGGTCACGCGTAGTCGCGGTTCGGCACGAAATCGGATTCATGCGTGTACAAATGAGGACGAGTCGTCCGACTGTTTGTGTCTGCTTGGCGCCGAAGCGGTTAACTCCACACCCGGAAAGGGCGAAGTCTGCACAGCAACAAGCGCCATGATTGCGTCGCAAAGAGCGCCTCAGCAGCTGGTGAGTGATTCTTTTGGTCCAGTAGTTGCATGTTACTATGCGCTTGCAAAAATCTGTCACAGCCCTCCTTTCCGTACCCTGCCAACAGCAGCGAGCAGAGCGAGCGAGCCCCGCTTCTGTCGATAATCTGTCGCATTGGACTGGCGGAGGGGGAATCGCTGTGATTTAGAGCGCAGCTGTCAGCTAACCGCGGTCCCGCTGACAAGGAATGCAAGACGAGCGAAGAATAGTTTTGTTGCTGGAGTTAATGCCCAAGTTATTTGGGGGGGGGGGGGGTTATTTTTTTGACTAGTCTTGTGTTGCTGGTTATGTCGGGAGGGGGGGGGGGGGAAAGCCTCAGGATGTGGCACAGACTTGGATGCGCAAACGGAACTCCGGTGGCAGATTTTATTTTTACGCGGGCACAAGACCGAACCAAGACGGTTTCACTTTCAAGACGGGAATGCATCAGAAACAGCTGGAACGTGACTTGACCCCAAAAAAAAAAAAAAATCTGTATCCTTTTGGGAACGTGATCTCGTTTGTAGTTCGTTTTTGTAACGAACTACAATATATATATATATATATATATATATATATATATATATATATATATATATATATATATATATATCAGCAACCCCTCTGGGTGTGGGTGCGTGTTGTGATAAGTCTGTATTATTGAGTGATTTTATTGGTTTTCCCCTGCATGTGTGTGTTTTGACGCCTGGGTGATGATGTGTTCGCAGGGCATGATGGAGCAGCTGGAAGAGGAGCTTACGTGCCCAGTCTGCTGCTGTCTCTTCGAGGACCCGCGGGTGCTGCTGTGCTCGCACAGCTTTTGCAAGAAGTGCTTGGAGGGGCTGCTGGAGGGCAACCGGGCTCCGGCTTTCAGGGCGCCTTTGAAATGCCCCACGTGCCGCAAGGAGACCCCCCATAACGGCGCGAGCAGCCTGCAGGTCAACTACTCTTTGCGCGGCATCGTCGACAAGTTCAGCAAAATCAAAGTGATGCCCAGAATGTTCGCGTGCAAGCGACACTGCGGGCAGCCGCTCAACATATTCTGCGCCACCGACCTGAGGCTCATTTGCGGAATCTGCGCGACGACCGACGAGCACAGAGGCCACGGCTTCAGCTCCCTGGAGGACGCGTACGAGCAGGAGAAGGGGGCGTTCGGAGACCTGCTCCAGGAGGCGGAGAGCTGGCAGAGCGCGGAAACCCTGTCCTGTCTGGAGACGCTGCAAGCCAGCAAGAAAAAGGCGCTCCAGTCGGTGGGCAGGGACGCGGAGAAGGTGGCCGACTACTTCGACAAGCTCGTCGGGTCCCTCGAGTGCAAGAAGAGCGAGATCCTCTCCGACTTCGAGACGCTGAAGCTGGTGGTGATGCAGGCGTACGACCCGGAGATCTCCAAGCTGAGCGCCGCGCTGGAGGAGCAGAGTCGCGCGCTCGGCCTGGCGGAGTCCGTCAGAGGCGTCACCGACCCGCTCTGCTTCCTGCAGCACATGCAGGAGTTCCGTGAGAAGGTCAAGGTCCTGAGGGAGACCACCCTGCCCTCTCGGAAAGACATGGACGTGGGGCCCCTCGTGCGCAACTTCGATGTGAAAAAGTGGGACTCCCTCCGGCTCCGAGAAATAGACAAGATCTCAGTCCCGCACGAGAGTGGCGCCTACCAAACAGGTGGCTCTCGGATGTCGTCGTGGTACAAATGGAGCGCTTTGTCCCTTGTCCTCTTCCTGTCAACACTGCCCATCTTTTTCCTGTCTCCGCCGCACACTGCAATCGACGTGACCTCAAGAGTCCGAGCGCTGATCACTGAACGCGGCCCCTCCGCTCCTCAGTACCTGCAGGAAATCAGTGACATGTGCGCAGGACTGATCGAAGCAGGTCAGGAACATGTGATGAGCATCATGTCAGATCTGTCCACCACCTTCACTCACTACTTATCCTAATTCGTGCAGAAGAGTAGCGAATAAATGGGAACACCGATATTTGTCTATATTATGTTTTTACTTAAATTTGTTCAACCTTTGATACTTAATGAAGCCTGAAAATCAAACAATCCTCTTCTAAATCCGGTCTAAACCTAATTATTTTTTATTAGTAGTAGTATTTTTTATTTAAATTTGTACACTAACGACATTAAAAAAAACAACTTGATTTTTGGAAAATAAATTTGGAGAATCCCGAGTCACTGCTATGGTTGTTTTCCTTCAGAGCGACAGGGTGAGATCAGGCTGCCGCCGTAACCATGGGAGAAACTCCAGCGCGTCACAGCAGTGATGCTGCAACCTCCTCAAGGTTACGCGCGTTACGTAACGAGGGCCCGCGCGAAACTGCAGAGGAAGGTCCGAAGACATGCTCCACGTGCAGCAGCAGTCAGGTGCTCAATCTCAGCACTTAATCAATGCTGATCCGCCACTTTTTTTTTTCTTTAAAAAATAAAATAAAACAAAACATCATCAGATCTGAGCTTCTGCGGCTCTTTCGTCAGCAAGGACATTAATTCACGTCACCCAGGTCTGTGCATAAGCCCATAACATATATAGCTCACTGTTGCCAGGCAAATATAGGATGAGGCATTAATATTTCAAATCCCATGCCAGCTTTTTATATAACTCATGTATAAGACTTATACTCATGTATAAGTCTTTACATATATAGGCTATATGTAAAGACTAAATGGTGAAGTTATAGTCGTGGCATAACAAAGCGCAAAGTCCTCCAGTTAATAAATACGCGCATATGGTTAGAATTAATTATATATATATGTATATATAAACAGGTTATGAAAACAGAGTATCGAGATCTGTTCTTGAAAAATAATAATAATAAAAACTATTGTCAGGATGAGTCGTGCACCAAATTACATATTAGAAAAGTAAAAAAAAAAAAAAAAAAAAAAAACTAAAAAGAAAAACAGCCGTATTTATAACTAAATGGCGCAACGCGAAGAGGAATTGTATTTACGGGAAAACATGTTATTTCAATCACGCCAAAGAATATTTTTAAAGGTTTCATGAACTATGAAAACAGGCGATTTTTAAATCATAATAATAAAATCAGTGTAAAGGAAAACTACAGCTCCCAAATTAAGAATTTGTACATTTTCATGTGGACAGATTTAGTTTGGCCACATTACGATGATCAGTCGGTATTTCAGAGTGTATGGAGAAATATAAAGGGAAATAAAAAATAATAATAATAATACAGGCAATTCAAAGTAAAAATATGTAGGCCACATTTTCAGCACGGTGACTTCAAGGTGAAACGGGCTTTTTACATAAAACCGCAAATATTGCCGCATTAAAATGAGTCTCGGAGTTTCTTTTTTTTCCCCCTTTTAAAATAAGTAACATTTACTTAAATGATTATGAAGTTCAATAGCCTATTTTATTTTTAATACACACACACACACACACACAAAAAAAAATATATATATAGATGAAAAGGCCCGAAAAGGCCGGAGTGAATATAAACGCTATAATGCAGACAAAATATGGGCCCCGCACGCAAGACTGCGTTAATAAAACCCTGTTTATTAATGAAAATGTAATGATTTAATTAACGAGCGGAAAAAGGTCACTTTTTAATTTAGATATCAAAGACAAGTTTAATATTTGCGAAGCGGATGTTAGACTGAATATCTTCCATTTCAGATAAGTGTGTATGTTTTAAGGAAAAAGAAGAAAGAGGGGAAAGGGCGCCATTTTCGCAAGTCACAGGGCAAAAAATAAATAAAAGTATTGGTGAATCAAATTTGAGATGATCGCCTGTAATATTCTGAGCGCAAAACAGAGGCTTGAAACACCCTCGCGTCCAAACTGCGCTTAAAATGGAGTCTGGTTGCGGGCCTGGGGGGGGGGGATGAGGAGTTACAAAACCGCTGGACTTCACGTAACCGCAGACTGTCCTCCGCATTAGCGTATTTACAGCGGCCACAAACTCTTAAAAGTGCAGGATCACTTAAAAATGCAGAAAAGTCGCGATAGAAATCACGTTTTTATTCTGAAAAATTGGGGAAGAAAACCTCTAACGTACTCAATGTTTGAATCAGACACTTGTAGTGTTTGTATAAAGTGATCGGGAGACCATCAGAGGCCATGCGGGCCCGGGCAGCGCCTCTGCTCAGCGGCTGTAACTCTGGGACAACTGCGGGAAAAATATGAAGTCAGCACTTGTAAAGTGTTTAGTGTTACTTTGACAAAGAAAAAAAAACAAAACAATAGTGAACATAAAATGAAAGCATGTCGTTATTATTAGGGAAAGGAAACGCAAACGAGATCAGTTCATGTTTTTATTTCTCAAAAATATTCACATATAACAAGATAGGCTTAAAATCTTCAAACAAAATAGCTGATTGAAAAAAAAAACATGAATAAATTCAATTCCATGTAATGAAAGCCATCATCACCTGCAGAGGGTTTCAGAGCATTCAGAGTGTGTGAGTGGTCAGCTTTGCTTCAGCAGCACGATCAATACTGGAGACTTCAGCTAGTCTTAACTCCAATATTTACGTGCTGCTACAGTAAGGCGACCAGAGAGAGAGTCAGAATGATAAATGCCCTGGAATCGTTTTCGTCATTAGCAACACAATCATCTGGATAACATGAGCTCAGGCAGCCAGTGGTCATCAAAGACATCTGGAGGGGCTTAAAGCTTTGCGTGTTGTGTTATTCGGGCTTTATTGCGGCAGCACGGTATGGCCTGCATCTCAGAGTAACCCACAAACCATTCTGTGCTGCTACAGCATCGCCAGAAACATCTGCTCCTCCTCTTCGGCACTCTGCACTTGCCTTGTTGCCCGAGCTTCAAATCCGCATGATGGATTCATCTAAGAGGGCGGAGACGATCAGCATCCACGTTTTCCGTCTCCATCTGAAACAGAGAACAGGACAGTTCAGGCTGTGACTTCTGCAAAAGAAATGTTTTCTACACAGGAAAAAAACAAAACAAAACAAAAAACTTTCACATTTCAGAGACTGACTGCAGCAGTTTAGGCACAACGAGACGGCTTTGAAGTCGGATGACAAAGTTCTTGGCTTACTGTCTCTGAGCTGCTGGATGAGGACGAGGTCCAGCCTCTCCACAGAACGGCACTGTTCGGCCTGTCTAAAATTCAAAAACTGTTTCTACACGCACATTGCTCAATGCACGAAGGCGTCGTCATGTTGAAATGTTGAGAGAAGGGGGCCTGTCCCAGACTGTTGCCACAGCCCTGGAAGTAGTGTTGACAAAGATCAGCTTTATGCCATGTAGTACGAGGATTCCCAAAACGCTTGGAGACGTTTTCCACTGGCCACATGGTGCAACAGAGGCATTTTATATTGTGAGGTCAAATATTTAAGTAAATTGAGTGGTTTAATTAGAGATGTACCGATCAGTTTTCCTGACCAATGCCGATTTCCGATCTGTCATTCTGATTAATAGAAAATTGCAATGTAACATGCAGAGGAAAACATGTATTGCAGGTTCTTTGACAGAGGTTGTAGTTTTGAACTAACAGGAATTTATATTTACTTATAACAGGCAAAAAAAGAAGAGTAAAAACAGAAGAAAAAAAAAATCATGCTAACCAACATGTAATTTTATATAATTTGTTCAAAAAGGAGCATGTAAAAGATTAACAAATTACTTTTGGAGTGTTTAACAATTGGAAATGCTGAGAGTTTGCAGTTTTGATGCTTTAATGAATAGAAAGCGTCATATCAATGGAAAATAGGCCCGTTCTAATCTCTTGGGATTACTGGTTGGTGCACCTCTTATTTTTAAAACACAGCAGCAAAACTGCATCCAAAGCTCTGTAAAACCCAGGGAGCGCGAAAAAAAGCTGAACATAATCAGTTACTAATCTTACAAACAGGAAAGACACGCTGCTTTGTGTCCAGTTTGCTGCATTAACTATTCCAAACGCAGCAGAAAATGTATTTCCAAACACTAAAAAAAGCACCATAAGCAAAATAATCACAAGATACATGTAGGATATATGTGGTGTGTCTGCAGCTTGATAGTAACTTCCCTGTATCCTGACTTGCATATTTAACTCTTATGAGAAGGGTGAAGGTTGTATTTCCATATTTAATATATAATAAATAAATAAAAAAAAATCAAATGAACAACCATGGGAGAAGGTGAGATAAACAGATTGGTTGAGTTTGAATAAATAACCCTAACCAGGATGAAATTGACTGCTCAAAAACTAACCAGCAACCGAAGAAAAACACATAACTTCTATATTCAAAGCAAGAAAGAACTATTATAGATTTTTTATATATATAATGAAACGCGTGTCAAACTTTCTTGAGAATTATGACATTCAAGTTAGTAATTATAATCTATTTGAAGCTTATTTGATCTTGATAGAAGTCCCAGTGGAATTGGGATGTGGTGATTGTGTTGCCACTAGAGGTCTCAATGGACCTGTGATTATAACTTCACTCTGAAATGGACTCAATAGCCAGAATCTAATAAGATCACATTCAACTTCTCTTTATGTCACAGGGAACTAATGCAGGTCAGTCTGTCAGCACAAGCTCCACGGCGTTGCTGTCTGATAAACAAAGGTTCTAAAATAAATGTAATTGTGTAAAGAGAGAACACACTCTGTTATGAAAACTAGCCTTTTAGATGGTACATGTTCCTGATACTAAAATACAAAGAGGCTGCATGCATAATTTAATTTACAAGTCAACACAGGATGGCTATTAATAGTTTAATGTGGACTTAATATTTGGTGGTAAAGAAGAGGAAAAACAGGAAGACTTAAGTGAACTTCTGACATGAAAGCAAAATTTGAAAATGCTGACTAATGCCTTCACTTGACTATTGTAAGAAGTTAACAAATAGGCTATATTAAGCATTTTTAGATTAATAACACTTTAATAAGAGCATTCATAAAAGTCTCTTTTCCTGTGTGTATTAAGCTTCTTTTGCCTGACTAACTTTAGTTATAGTTAAAGATATGGGGCTTGTGACTCTCTTTCTACCTTTAGGTATAAATGCTTTCTCAAACAATGACACGCATCAGAAATTTATTAGGTGACAGAATGTCAGACCAGACTGGTTCAGCAGCTGTATTAACACCCTGGCACTACAGACAGTAGCACAGTGTGTGGAAGACGCTGAGGGCCAATGAGTTCAGCATGTTACCCCCCCAGGGTTTTAATGTGGATACCTAAAGCAGAACATTTAAAATAACATTTTAGCCACTCACTGGCAATTAAGTAAAAAAAAAAAAAAAAAAAAAAATCTCTCAATACCTACAAGACAATTTTTTGAATACCAATTTTAAAAGCAGAAAAAAAGTGGTATTTGTGAGTCTTTTATATGTACGAAGTAAAGAAGAAAAATAAGATTTAGAGATTATATTATAAGTATGCTGATGAGCATCATGGTACCATCCTAAAAGAATAGAAAACTTAAGCACAAAGGATATTTGACTTTTGGCATAGTGTAGCTCCATTAAAGTGTTGATTCAGGAATTAGAAAATTTTTTATATGAATGGGACATGCGGTGTAGTTCAAAGCGCAAAACTACACCTCCTCTCAAAACTTGCAATGGCTGCCAAGTCAAACAATTTCAGATTCCAAAATAAAAAAAAATAAAATTAAATTAAAACAAGGTATATAACCTTGTAACTGAAGAAAACACACTAGGGAAAAAATGCTTTCCCTTAAAATAGTGCTAATTATTAAAATAGTTCCAGGAAAAATAAATAAATAAAAAATGGAGAAGTTGTTTTAAGATATTCTGCATTACCAGCATACACAGATGTAGACAAGTTAGTACCAGGATAAAAGACACCACATCCCCTGTCAAAAAGCACATGGACAGTTAAGTCACAGTAGAGAGAAATATTTAAATACGAGCATCTGTAACACTGCATGGACAAAATATGTACATCCAAGCACAATTGATGCAAGATTCATTTACTGTGCTGGGGTTTAGAAAAAAAAAATTGAACCAGCTCCTTTTAAAAATAGAAAAAGATTAAAAAAAAATCTCCCCGATCAAGTGAATTTTGTTTTTTGTTTTCTAGACAAATACAAAATAAAAACATATTTCATATGTTACAAAACTGCATGTGGAAAAAAGTGTGTGTGTGTGTGTGTGTAACAGTAAAAATGAAAGGTGCAGGCTTGTAAATTTTAAACTGAAGTTCCAGCAACAAACACTTCACCTTGCTCATCAGGCACAAATCAGGTAAGCCAACACATTTTCTTAGATACGAGTAATTACTTTACAAGTCTGGTTGAAAAACCTTCTCATCAATGACTAGCCCTACCCTTTTCTTCTTCCTCTTTCTCATTTAAGGAAGCATGCTCGGACAAGTCACCTTCAAACCTCAGCCTTTTTAACCCATTCCTGACACTTGCTCCCTGCACAATGACCTCAAAGAGTCACCTGACCCTGAGGCTGAAAGGTCAAGCATAACCTCCTCCTCCCTGCTGGGCTCAGGGACATTGACATGACAACCCATCAGCACCCGAGATCAAGTATCTGGCCTGGCCTCTTCTGGCCGCAGACTAAGAAATGGCATCATGTGGGAATATACTCCTAATCTATCTGCATAAAAAGATAAAAGTTTGGGGGGGGGGAATCTGATACATGTTGGGGGAAAAAAACAGGTACTTTCAAAAAAAAAAAAAAAAAAAAAAAAAAGGAAAAAGAGGGCGGCAGATTAACACCAGCTGTTTCCTCAGCTGAATTAACATTTTACAAGTTTGGGCAACAATTAAAAAAAAAAAAAAAAAAAGCAACAGAGGCAAGTAACTTTGTTCTGTTTCATGCAGAAATTGGAAGTCTTAATCCCAGGAAAGGCAGTGATTTTTGCACATCCAGTGAAGCATTAAAATGAAGGGCTTGGCAGGCGAGGGCCACATGCCGACTAATTTATTTATTTTTTAATCATGGGACAATAGCAGAGGGTTCTTCCTCTTCAGGTACACACTTACCTCTCCATGTACTGTTGAAGTGCAACTCTGATAGCTGACACTCTAAATTTCTTAAGAAGTGTAGATTCACAAAGACAAATCTGAAATAAATAAATAATATATATATATATCCTTACTGTCTCACTTGTCGTGTCACCATTTATTTGACTGCAACTGTCCGCTTGATTTGCTAACAAAGTTATGTCCTACATTATTTACAGAACATCTCTGTTAAGGTTTACCACTTAAGTGTAACTAAATATTTTTTAGCAGATCCAGTGTAAATCCGGGCTGCAAATGTAAAGCTTCCCCAAGGACTCGCAACACTGTTTCCTTTAAATACATCAGTTCGCCCACAATGAGACGGGTGAAATATTTAATCCAAATTCAACAAGTCCACCTATTCCCACAATGTAAGGACCAACTTCGCAGGGGCTTAGTCCTCAGCAAATACATTTAGATTTCATTTGAATCATCCGAGGGCTCAGTTTACTCTTTACATAAAACAAAGAAGCAAAAACAGACCTCACAATAATTGATTCACCAGGGAACTCAGCTTACACTTAAGTCATCAAAAAGTATCTAAAAAAATAAATAAATAAATAAAAAAAGAAGAGAACCTTTCCTGTTCCCTCTTTCTTTTCTGTTATCCTTGTAAAGCACTGCATGCAAAGGAACAGCAATGTTTAAACCGGGTATGCTGCATTTGCAGACTCCCATGTGCAAGTGGGGCAAAAGAGGAAGCAAGGCAAAAGTGTGAGAGCAGGCTCACAAGCCTATTCACTTGTGGAGCAATTACTGAAACACGACCTAAAGTGTTATTTTAAAAAAATATTTAAAAATACACAAATATTTAGATGCCACAAACTGAAGTGTAAGGAAGTGTAAGTAAGGAAGTATTCCCCTAACCTCCACTTGTGCTTCATCATCTTTTATGCTAAAAGAATGAAACCTTGCAGTGACATTAAATTTGTTGACCTTTGTATATTACTTCAAGTATATATTATTTTTGAAAAGAAAATTATGTGACGGTATAATTACAAAAATTCCTAGCAGCTCCATATTTGGCCCAACAACATGTTCAGCTCTGTGCTGACAAATACACATAAGCAGATCAACATGAAATACAAAAGTGATGGCAGAAGGACATGTAATGCAGAACTTAGTGAAAAGAAATTATGATAAACATTATTATGAAATTATATTTATTTATATGTCTAAATGTATGTAAAGTGACATCATGTGTATCAATAGTAGCAAGCAAAAAAAATAAATTAATTAATTAAAAATGAACATAAGCATTCTTAATTATTTAAAGGTTAAAAGAAAAATTGCACTGATTTGCAATTTTTAAATTACAAATATAGGGTCCAAAACTAAGTCAATGAAACACCATGTGTGTTTTGCTGCAAGTGTTTTTACAAATTATAATTTTACCACCTAAAACTGAATAATGATTTGATCTTCAGTTCGAAAAAAGTCAACAAAATAAAACATTTAAAGTTATTGCCTAAATACAGTGTTTACAGTACATAAACAGTGTCCCACATTGTCCCCCTAACTGTGGGTCTGTGGATTTTCACATGTTCAGTTCATGACATATTAAATCTTCACCTACACATGTCACAGTAGCACATATTGCTACAAAACAAAAAAAGGAAAAAAGGGCAACATTTTAAATGAGAAGTAAGCCTTCGCTTTAAAGTCATTTTAAAAATAACAGTAGAAAAAGCTAGTGAAAAACCTTTGCATACAGAACTTATGAAAGGACTTTCTTTAATTACATGCAGTGTTGCTACTACTGATATGAACCTAAACCAACATCATGCAAAAATAAAAACGCTTTCCTTCCCTGGAGACTGTATCTTAACTTTTTTTTTTTTTTTCCCCGTCCAGTTTCGGTAAAATCCTTGACTAAAAAGACAACCGTTTCACTGATTACAGAACTTGAATTATGTCTGGAGAAAAACTGACTCACAATGTGATAGCTTCTGTTTTATGCAAATCAGATGCAGAACTGAAACCATGGCCAATACCTGGAAATGAACCAACAGGACCCATGAAAACGGTTCCTGTCAAAACAAATTTGAATACTATAAAGTTTATGCTGAGTAGTGCAGAAAGAAGGCAGAGAAAGAGGAGGGTGGGTTCTGCAGTTTGGTTACAAACACATGTGAGCAAATGCAAGAGAGGAACAGTTTTACCAGGAAATGGGGGGTGGGAGCCCATTTTGCCAGAGGGGTCTGAGGAGACAGAATGATGAGTCACACAATGTCAAGCTAGCAGTCTGAAACAGCACAACAGTGCACTAGAAAGAGGGTGAAAAGGTAAATACCAGAGTGTGGAGGGGAGACATAAACCTGTAGCATTTAAAGCAGATTATCACTACAGGGTGGAATATATCATGTGCCAACACAAGCAGCTGATTCTTCACAAAAAGTGTTCATCTAACATGTCTGAGTACGTCAGACACCTCATGGAAAAATATGTTACCAAAGGTGAAAAAAGTACAATTCATGACTCCTGATCGGAAAAAAAAAAAATTAGAAATTTCACTTTGATATCTATTATGTAACAAACAGGGAAATATACTTAAAACTATGTAAGGGGAAATATTGGAGGATTATTTGAGCAGATTCAATTTAATTTCAGTAATGCTGCCTTGCCTGAAAAATAAAGGCACCCCTTCAAATTCACCCGATTGGATTTCAAAGATCTGACTCTTATGGCTGCAAGATGTCTAATGTATTTTTTTTGTATGCACATGACACGCTCCATGTAGGTCGGCACTCCCCCCCCTTCATTCTTTTTTTAGATGTCTATGCCGTGTCAGCAATTTGTTTTCTAATATATATATAAAAATATCAAGAAGCCCTTGCAGAACATTTTGACAGCTCAATGCAATACTGTCCCATCAAGCTTGTTGACTGCTTATCTACATCCATGCTGCTCATCAATTTCATGAACAATAAATATTCATTATTGTTTTTCTTTATATCAGCATAGTAGTTAACAAAATTTTACAATAAGAGTAAAATGGAAACTTGGAGCAAATTCAAGGTATTTACACATTTTACTCCATATTCTGAATCACACAATCACATATTGAAACCTAAAACATAAAAACAATATTTAAAGTGGTCTTTATCCTGACCCTGACATTTAGGTTCTATAGACGTTCAATAATTTTCTTTCCGTGTGTTCATAACAATTTTCCGTCACAGCAGATTAGCCAGTTTCTTTCTAAACAAAATGCCCACAAAGATAACCAAAATCTTACTAGATGAGCAGAGCGGTTTCACAATGAATATGCTGCCCCAATTCAGAAACACATAGTATATTAAAGTGCCACAAGAAAATACTAATGATAACAGAGCTGCTTAGCTACATTTCCATTCAACTCCTGTGTGTCATGTATTTAAAAAGACAGCACACAGTAAAACAATAAGTAAGCACACTTCCAGATGTAAGGAGACTTGGCGAGGGGAAAAAAAAAAGAAAGAAAAAAAGAAGGCAGTTCAAGTTTACAGAGGTGACTGCCCTGTCTCATTTCCGAGCATTTGAGCCATTTCTTTACATCATCTATAAATCTATTTAGCTGTGTTCACACAAATTTCTCTGAATAAGTTCAAACTATAAAACTGAAAAAGGCCTCACGTTATGTAACACATCAAACCGATCTGTACTTGCAAGGAAGTAAAAGGGGCGGGTTCACACGATCAAATACATAGAGCTCCCATTTTTCCTCTTATTTTCAGAAAAAAAAAACATGCAATATATAGCTGCACAATATAATCGCATTTAAGGGCGTTGTGATGATGAATGACTCTGGTCTGTAAACCTTCACTCTACGATCAAACCACGAGGTATTCCGCCTTCACTTAAAATAAATCAGTCATCAGGATATAGAAAAAGTGCAGCGATGCCTAAACGGGTGGAAAAAAGGGCAAATGGAAGCAGAAAGCGACGCCCGAAAGTCAAACTACGATAAACCAAAACTCCAGGCATCAAAGTAAGGCGGGAGAAGCACCGAATATATATATATATATATATATATATATATATATATATATATATATATATATATATATATATATATATATATATATATATATATATATATATATTACATTCATTAATTTAAATTCATAACATGGTTTCTAATCGGGACAACTCTTCGTGACATTAAGGACTGCTACAGTTCCAGTGAAATGATCTGAAGTTGCAGTCTTAGTTTGCTGTCACTTGGCTTGGAGCCACACAGATCATCTAACGCTCACTGGAAGGTATTCGCATCTTTTAACAGGAAAAGAAAAAGAAAAAAAAAAGCGAATGCGAGGAGTTTGACAGGATAAAATCATATTAAGATACACATTTTCACTTGTCATTTACAGTCATTTTTCTAGCTCAAGGAGACATCCAGCTTCACCATTTCTTTCTTTTTTTTAATTATTGTCATTATCAGTTTTGAGGTCACAGAGCGATATAATGACAAACTCACCAGGTGTCCTCTGTCAAACAACCTCGGAAGTCCACATATCGCAGTTCGCAAGGCCGAACAAAATGTCTGCCTTTGCTAACAAGATCGTTAAATTTAAGTTACTACAAAAAGCACAGTGTCCGTCCCGGTCTTTCATTTTGATTTTTTCCCCCCCCTCCCAGGGCAATGCAAGTGCCGTGTGCATTTGTTGACACTACCGACTCTGCTGCCTCAAACCTGGCAGCTTCTGCGCCTCCCGCTCAAAACCGGTCAATGTAGAAAAAACAATATCCGATACAGCTCAACTTTCACCAATAACACTGAGGTTAACTATCATCTTGTTGTGTCAAAAAAAAGGGGGAAAAAATTCTGTGTATTTTTTTTTTTTAAGTGGTCTCCATCACCCTTTGGATAAAATAATCCACTGTATGAGAGCATTTTCCCTCTACCGTTACAGCGCAGCAAAGTCAGAAATCCCTCTCTGTGAGGTAGCACGCTAAGCTAGCCTGCTAACCGCTCGGAATAGTATAGGCTGCCAACACTGGCCAAACAGCTAACGTCTCCCAGCCACGGTCGGTCTCCCTCCTGTTTTCCACGCATTTCCTCTCCTTAAATCCGCTCGAATTACCAGAATAAGACCATACGCTCACGTCTGTGGCTGTAAATACCTGTGTTCCAGCTGAAATAAAGGCTTTTCTTCTCTAAAAACGCAGTTTGGGTTTTAACCACTTGGCTTCTTCTCGCCCCCCCCACCTCTCTCCGTCTCAGCGACAGCTCTCTATATTCGCAGCAGCATCCTCTTCCCGCAGCTGTTGAAGCGATCGCTGCTCACTCGAAAATGGCGCCGAAAGATACACTGCTCATTCAAATTCGATAGAGCCTCCCATTCTCCCTATTGGCTGGATGCGAAGCGGATTCGGCGCAGCTGATTGGTCGCTGAAAATGCACTCTGTGCTGATGTCACAGCTTTCCGCAGTGGTAGGCTGAAAGAGACAGCTTTAACTCTTTGTGTCCTAGGCTGGCTATTTGCAGCAAAAAATGTATAGGGAATCACGTTAAACTTTTTAAAAAGCAAAATGTTGTTTCAAAACGAATGCAACAACATCTGAGTTTATTAAAAAATTACAACTGAAAGGCTGGAAAAGTCTTAAACTGCAATTAAAGCAACAGAAAAGACCCTATTAGGACACGTCAAGTCATGAACAGGCCAGACTACTGCATTTGTTCTAGATGTATCAACATTGCACCAAATGCTTGACATAATGGAACATCAAGTGCTGTACTCTGTCAAGTATCTTAGCACCTAAATCTCATCTTGTTTGTATAGTGAGCTTGTTGAAAGTCTTTGGTGTCAACTGAGTGACCCACATCAAAACAACTAAGTTCTATTTATCCTCAGGGTTACACTACTCTGCACTTTACCAGGAAGACACAAATTAGTCATCTGCCTGCAATAACCCTTGAGTTCCACTCAAGGGTTATTCGTACCTTATATTTGTTTTGCAAGTGTGTGGAAGAAGTTTTCAGAATATGTAAACATAAAAAAGCTACATTGAACTAATACATATAACCAACATACACTATTTAGGACTATTTTAGAACACTTAAAGTTGGGTTATGTTAAAAGTCATTAAGCTGTATCATACCTGCTATAAATAACTTTTACACTAGCTAAAACTTCTGCAAGCATTAGTTTGGCTTTTAGGTTCTATAAATATCAGTGGTTTCCATCATTATTTTTATTATTTATATTATAGTTGAATCATTACATTTCCACTTAGTGTAATGTTACGACATATCTTTTAATTTAATCACAGTTTTGTGTTTATGTTTTAATTCTCAAGCACCTTTAGGCATGCAGTTTTGCTATGAACTTGGATGTTCCCTGCATTTATCCCTGATGAATAAACAAAATATACCCAAATTGGTGTCTTCATTTAGCATAAATCCAGAATAGAAATAAATCCAAATAGAAGCAAGATTGAGATTGGCCAGAATATAAGTGAACTTAAAACAATGCAATGTCAAATACTTTGCATTGTTTTAGCAATGCAATGCATCATTGCATTGCAGTGCAATCATGTTGATGCTATAGGATAGCTATTTATCCTAATAGTTATTTATCCTAAATGCTATTAGGATAAATAGTGTAACCCACATAAAGTGGGGATAGCCTTTTGGGAAATAGAGATTGGGTAGGCGGGGTAGTCTGCCTGGCCAATGGGAAGTTTGATTCCCATGAATGTTTAGACCAATCAGAGAGCGGAATGCCACAGAGGCTCCACCTTCTTTCCCGTGTTGGCAGCGTTGATTGTGAGCGGGAGATCTGACCCTGATCAGACAGCTGAGCCATAGTGAGAGTCTTTTGGTTTCTTTCTAATATCATTTATTGACTTTGAAGGATTTTTTTTTGTAAATAGTTATTGTTTAAATCCAACTTATAAGTTAGAAAGAGTGATAAGTTTCAGAAAACTGAACTTCAGTTTTTCTGCTGTTAGAACCACTAAGATCAGTTGGAACTGTTGCACTTTCTGGCAGTTGATTGGCAGTTGTTTTCAGTTCAACTGAAGGTAAAGCCTATATAATAATGTATTTTTATTTTACTTAATTCATTTTCTTTAAGTTAAAACTTAAAAAATATGCATTTTACACTGTCTAGTGCCCTCCGTGTCTGGAATGAGAGTCCCTGTCTAGTTGTTTTGAACGTGCCGCACTAAGATCGGTGAGCATATTTTGTACCTTTCATTTGGTTTTTGTTCTTTTATCTTGTTGTCAAATAATGATCTTTATTTGACCTACTTAGTTATTAAAACGTGAACCTTTGCTGAGTTTGTGTAAAATGTAATGTTTATTATTGTTCTTGGAAAAGGATTTTTCGAACAGTTATGAAACATAATAAGCTAGAATGGTTTAATAATAATTCTATGTTTCTGCTGGTCTTGTCTGTTGACAGATCAGGTTTTTTTTTGTTGTTGTGTTGTTTTTGTTTTTTTTGCTTTTTCTTCTCTTCTCCTGGATTGTTCCTGGAGTGGATTCCCCTACTGACTTTGATGGCGAGCCTTCCCACCTGGACTTAGAAAGATCTGGATTTCCTCCCATGTTGAGTGAGACCTGAACCAGGATTTAATTTGATTCATTTGTCATCTAAAAGAGATTAAAGCGCAAACTACCAGGGTGCACCCAATAGATTTAAATTTGATATTTAGCACTTGGCCAAGTATTGTTGTTTTATTTCATGTATTTTATTGTGTGTAATTTTATTTTCTTAATTGTATGTCTTGTCCACTTGTGAGTTTATGATTCATGTTACTAAAGCTAATTGTTTTTTAAATTCACTCAACTGTGTATGTGTGTCATTTAAACACCCCTCGTGCTCTGACAGCCGAACCTATTGGCCCATCTACCTAAAACATATTGTACCCTTCTCAACTGTGTTACAATAGCATTCATCCTAATTCTATTTTATAAAAATTTTTAGAACAAACTATTTTTATGTCTGTATTGAGAAGATATTTACAAAAAAAAAACCTTACGTAAATGATTATTTACATGAAAAATATATGAAATAGTTTGTGTGTTTCCACTGGGTACTGGGGACAGAACATATAAACTTTTCTTTGGTCAGAGTACCTGTTTGACAATAAAGTAAAGCAGGGTAAAAATCAATAAAATACCATTAACTTAAACTCCTAAAATCCTTTTGCTTTTTAGATCACTTCAGTTTTATTTCAGGCAGTTTCTCTTACAAAAATTGCTTTGTAAGTTCCTTTCTCAGTACATTTTAAACAGGAGGACCTCTGGTGGCAAACTGCTTCCTCCTTCTATTTTTTATTTTTATTTTTGCATTAAATAACAGTAGGTTTCTGCGTAAATAACAGCTCTAAGCCAATATAATGACAAGTAGAAAGTTCATAAATTAATGTTAGCATAAACCGCTGTGACAATGTGGTTCCTTTAGCACAGCAGAAGCTTGTTTTGGTCTTGGCATCTCTCAAACTGGCTTTTTGCTTAAATTTCCAGAGCCAACTCTGGATCGTACTCAATAAAAACACCAAGAGAGTTATCTTAAAATAAAAGTTCAGATTCCTGTATTTTTTTATATATGTATATTTTTTTAAATTGTTCTGTTTAAGCAGTTTATATCTTACCTGCAGAAGACAATTCTCTTGGCATCTTTACTTTGTATCCAGAAAAAGTGGAACAGGAGGCTGAAGCTAATAGTTAATCTGAAAGGAGCCGAAGCCAAAGTGTAGTTATTTCGAATCACTTTGAAGAATTTCTATCTCAAAAACTTAATGCTGGTTTGTGTGAATGCTTCTATTTTTTTGGGGGGGGGGGATATCAGCAGAGAAGCTGGTGATTTCTTAGAGGTTGGTGCACCACCGGTAATCTACCTGAATGAAACACATTCCTGGAATAGAACATTAAATGTTTCCAGTCATTTTAACTGTCTGATGTAAAAGTGTAAAAAGAAAAACATATAATATCAGTTGTCATGATAAATCTTTAACAAAACCTTATTCAAAAATTTTGATCTAGCCTATAACAAAAACAAATAGTTATAATTATATTAGACACATTTTTTAAAGAGGCGAATGAATAGCAATGTTTTGGATACAAGCCCTCTTAATGTGCACTTAACATGTGTTACACACCCTCCTCCCCCACACACACACACAGACACGGTGCGCGTGTGCACACACACACACACACACACACACACACACACACACACACACACACACACACACACACATACACAGAGAGAGAGACAGATAGAGAGAGGGAGAGAGTTGGTCCCTATAGTGAGCATCTTGCTTGTCTACCAAACCTATCAGGTCAACATATAAATTAGTGACTAATATTTCAGGGATTAAAAACCTCTAGAGGGTTCATAGGAGCAGCAGTGAGTAGTAAGCACAGACATTCATGATGCAGTTCTTCCTCTCAGTCATAATTTGGAGTTGGCTTATTTTCTCCCTCAGTCTGAATGAGAACATTTCTTCATTATCTGAAATTGCGCTGACATCACATTGCCTGCTCTAGTTTTAATTAAGTTTCAATTTCGGTGGCATCATTAAAAAAAAAAAAAAAATAGATAAATCCTTTACGGATTTTTCGTCTGACCAAATATCCATTATAAATGGGAATTGGATTGAACTCATTTGATGTGAAAAAATTATGACATAACTATTTCTGTCAGTTCAGGATCACACTGGCAACACTGTTTATGTTAGCTGACCATTGTGGTGTGGTGTACACACATGACTCTTCGACAGCAACCCTGCTGCTGTCATGTCTATTTTTGCACACTGCAAAAATGCTAAATCTTACCAAGTATTTTTTTTCTGTCTAGTTTGTAGTGCAAATATCTTAGTACACATGGAATAAGACAAAACTAACTTAAAAGTAACCTATCAGCAAGATATAGGCGCTTGTTTTAAATAATTCCTCAATATTGATGAAAAAGTTCCAGTAACGTTGGCAGATTATTTCACAAATTGTTTGCCAGTGGACCAAAAATGTTTTGATGTACTTTAAGCAAAATGTACACACAATGCAAAGGGTGCTTAAAATCCAAACTTTTCACTTTTTTGTCAGTCAAGGTAATAGCGTCTTTAAAGTGTTAAATCTTTCTAGATCCTATCAAACAAGAACAATATTTCATTGCACAACTGTGTGTTTTCATAAAAAATATATATAAATAAATAAAAAAACAAGACGCTTTCTACGTTTAGAGCACAAAAGCCAACTGGGAGAGAGAGAGAGAGAGAGAGAAAGAAAGAGAAAGAGAGGTCGCCCACTGTATATGCATTCTGGTGTAGTGTGGACAATAGGGCGGAGAGGAAAAAAACACACTTGTTTACAGATAAACTGGTTTGGACAGGAAGCCAGTAAGGAGGAGCTCTGTGTTGTTAAACAGGCATGTGGAGAGGCAGGGATGAGCCAGCAAAAAAACACAACCATGACCATGGGACAGATATCACGCTGTACTCCTAGACACACACACACACACATATACCATAGTACTGAACATCCTCCGCAGACTTATGCTATGTTTCTAGCTTGGCAAATGATACAGGAAGAACGATTTTCTTTAGAAATAATGCCTTGTTCTGCAATCTGAACCATAGTTGAAGTTGGTTTGGTTTCAAAATCAAAAAATTAGAAATGCACTCATTGGCCTGAATTTGTAGTGCCAAAACAGTAGCAAAGCGGAGCTGTGGAGAATACTACACAGTTCACCCTGCATTGTGTCAGCGTCACATGAGTGCACACTGCCTTCCATTAGGCAGGAGATCCTTATGACTCACGAAAACACAAGTCACATGTTACTACACAAATGAACCATGCTACTCAGGCGCTGCTAACCACAGCAGCTTCTTTTTTTTTTCTTTTTCTTTTTTTTTCGTGCAAGCCCAAATGAAATCACATCATAATGCATCTCTTCATTAGCTGGACTGAGACAGAGATGGCCTCTCCCTTGTCTTCTGATAGGCCAGCTAAACAAGAGCCACAGTGTCATGTATCATGGTGTTTGGCCACAGCAGGCAAACCTGGCCTGCAGAGTTGCCAGCCTGGGGTGGCTTTAGTTCAGTGTAATTTGATTTCATGTTGAGACATCTAATGTGCATGGGTGTCTGTTGAATGCACATACCTTCTCTTTGGTGACTTTTACACATCTTGGTTGCTCTTCTCTGTGAGCACAGGGAGTGCTCACAGAGAAGCAAGACAACAACGTAAAAGGCGGCAAGCAGATTGTCCTCTATTGCTGAGGTTCAGAAAATGCAATGTTTTCGAGCAGATCAGCACAAAGAAGTGCACGGCTGTGACGTGAAAGGAAAATCACACATGGCTTTTCCAAATAAAAATTTGAAGATTTTTTTGCCGCTCTATCATTGTCGATAAAGTGTTACTTTTCTTTCACATATATTGTTTTGCATGTAGGCAGAGTTGTTGTGTCCATACATGGCTTGTTCTTCTGATGAGCTTTCTTTCAACAATGAATTTCTCCTTGCCACAATCTTTCAGAAAGGGCAGATTTGTGTGACTGTATAACTATTATCTGCCCTGTCAACAGATTCTTTCACCTGAGAAGTGAATGTTTGCAGATCCTCCACAGTCCCCATTGTCCTCTTATTGACTTTTCTCACTCATATATAGTGTTGCCTCTCCTATCTGTTTAGGTGAACAGCGACATATTAGTATTTTTGCAATGGTAAAATTTTTCCACAACTCCCTGAACAGTCTGCAATGTTCTAGTGTCTTTATGATGCTGTTTGCATGAAGTTCTCTGAGGAAACACCTTTGGGGTCTCCACAGAACAAATGCAGTTACCCTGAGCTGAAGTAGTAAAATTCTTTTCTCCAGTAAGGTGACTTCTGAGACCACTTGGTTGCTCTGGAGCTTATTTGAGGGTGTATGAGTAAAGTGGATTGAAACGTATCCACCCATCTTTCAAATTCCTGTTTGTAAGAAGACTGAAGGCCGTGTATAATTTTCCTTTCAAATTGCGGTAATACCTTAATTTGAGTTGGTCTGCCTAAAAAGAATTACAAATAGGATACACTCATGCAACAGAAAAAATTAAATGTGAAACAATTAAAGGGTATGGCTACTTTGGAAAAACACTGGAAACACAGAAATGGATCAGATTGGGGTCAAGGGTAAAATTAAACTGAGGCTATGCACCCATTCACCACAGAAGACAAAAAACCCGCTGCTCTCCTCAGCGTACAACAACAGCAGTAGGTGATTTTACAAGGTGTTTGTTTTCATGGAGCTCCGTTTACTGCGGCTCTCACTACACTTGAGATAAATTAGGCATCACAAATCAACCAAGCGCGAAATATGCTCTTCTTCTTTTCTAAAAGCAGAAGTGAAATCAGGGTAAGTTTAACTAAACCAAGTATTAGCAGAATCGCTTCTTAAGCTAGAAGTTGTGTCTCACACTGCGAGATGTTTCCCAACTATCCCATTTTAGCAACTATCACCCTGTGTAACATTTCAGGACACTGGACACCAAAAAGACAAATCCTTCTGAACTACACCCTGCAACAAAGTATAAAAGACTATGAGCTTACTATATTAACACTGACTATTCCCTCGTCTTGGTCTCTAAAGAACACAATGAGCCCCACAGAGAACTCCATACTACAGAGAGTCTCCATTGATGTCCTCTCAGCTCCCCTCCCCCTCTCAGACATCTGTAGCAGCTGCCCCCTTGTGCTCCTGTCAGCAGGGCAGAGTGTGTGTGTATGTGTATGTGTGTGTGTGTGAGCGTCTGTCTATGGACTCGGTGAGGTGGGGTTGGCTGCGAGGTTAGAGTAGGGCGTGTTGTGACACCTCCCCCTTTGGAGGGGTCCAGCCCGCACACTTGTGGGACATTACATTCATCAATGGCTAATAGTCACTAGCAGGTCATCCTGAAAACACAACAGAGACCTCTGACCTCTTTTTAGCGCAAAAGGCTGCGA